ATACGGGCGTTCTAAATTGGCAGGATATCGGAAGTATTAACGCTATAATATATAAGGCAGGTTATCGTATATAGACTCTATAAACCTCCCCTAGATCGATAATAGACCGGAAATATCTCCGTGGATTAAAGTAACGATAAATAGCTCCCGTAACGTATACCCGGTCTTCTAAATAACGGCCTCCTTAAAATAGGCAACCTAGTAACGGTTATCGTGTAGAAGCCCGGCCGTAATGTAGGCCTCGCGGTAGGTATTATAGATAGTCCCCTTAACGGTATAAAGGTCCGTAAAAGAAGTCGGCCCTTAAACGGAGACTAAGAGTAACCGTAAATAGTACGCCTCTTTAGCCGTTAGGGGTATATACCGTAGACGGCTGATTTAAAATCTATACTGCCTTAGCTACTAAGTAAACTGCTACGGTTTTCACGTATAACGGCTAGGAAACTAGTGATAGAATAACTTACGGCTATCGGCGTTAACACGGTTATAGTCGAAAAAGGCTATTAGCTAAGTCTTCCGCTCCTATAATATACGCTTAATCTGGTTTACGGTCGTGTTATCGCCGAAGTAAATAGGCTGCTATCCTTTAAGGTGAACCGGAAGACGTATAACGGGCGGATACTCACGGTATACGGGGAACTCGAATAACTAAATAATCGCCTCCGCGGGACCGATATAACGGCTTTATAAATAGAGATATACCTTGTCATCGCCCTTTTTACTCGATATACGCATAGTTATGCGGTCGGTGCCCTTATAAACGTACTTATATATATACTTAATCGCCTAAAGAAAACCGTAAATATTAAGATTAGTATATATATATACGCTGTAACGGAGGCAGATATACGGGGGAGGATAACTTACCTTAATAGATCCGTAAATCTTAATATTAATATAGGCACCGTAGCGGAGGTAGAGATACGGGCTATAGGGAATAATAAAACGGTTATTAAGGGGGACCTCTCTTACGCGGCCTCTCTTTATAACGTGTAGGCTAGAGTTACGGCGCCTGTATTTAGGATAACTATCCTCCCGTATAGTCGTCTCTAGGTAGTATGGCTTAGGGAACCGCTTAAAGCACTTTATACGGTTCTTATCGCGAGGCTACGGCTATATACACGGCGTAGAAGGCTTATCGTTGCCGTAAGGACTATATATTATATTCTTGCTAATAATATTAAAAAGACGGCTAGTAGGATCCGACTCGCGGTCCGGTAGCTCCGCGAAGATAACCTTATCGATAGTTACGGAGTCTTTATATATCTTAGCCGCCCGCGGCGGAAGGAAAAGAAGGATATAACGGTGTAGAAGACCGCGCTTTTAGTATTCTATAGTCTATATAATCCCCGTAAACTCACTAAATAGACTATCGCGTAGCTACTATTCTAGGTCACGGGATTTTAACTCGAATACACGGCCGACTAAATCGGGCCGGTCACTAGTAGTCTCACCCAGCTAAAGCTCCCGTATAATCTCTAGCTAAGTAGGATTAGCCGTAAAGGTAATAAAAAAGGTCGGAGTACTAAGAGCCCATATAATTACTATAGAATCCTAATAGCACTATAAGATAAACCGCTAGCCGCTAACGTAATTAAAGGGTAAGACGATCCGTCGCCTAATATTACGGGTATCGCTATTAGCCTTATACACCTAATCCTGTACCCCGTTATATACGTTAGCCCGTAACTTATTCTAATAGCGCTAGATCTAATTAAGTTTCTTCTAATCGCAAGAAGTCTATAGGTCTACTAAAAACTACTAAAAAAGCCGGCCGTATATAAAGGGCATAAACCTCTAATTATATCGCGGATATAGTATATAACGGCAGAACTAACGGAACTTTACCTCGGTATTCTGCCTTTTACGGTTATAAATATCCTATAACTATAATTACTAGTAATATCCAGAACCGCTACGCGGATATATAAGCGGGTAAGATAGTAGCAGGTAGGCAGAATACTTATAGTCGATCCGCGTAAGGCCGCCGATACTACTATTAGACTGTCTCTCCGCGAGGATAATATCCCGATAGCAGACTTTACCCTACTTATCCGGTATAATAGCCGTAACCTCGTCTATAACGGGCAGATTCTCACGCCGTATATTAGTACCCTGCTTAATAACTAATTCTATCCTAGGGTTTAGTATAATACGGCACCACTTACGGAGGGAGTTAAAGCGTGCGCGGGCCGTTCTGTATATATAGATAAAGGGGTTATACTTATATAGGAAGTCCGAAATCTCGCCTAGGATATAACGGTTAAGCGTAGAGTCGAGGCTTTAGGCGTTCGCGAGACGGTAGTCGGCGGTAGCTTATAGATCGTAAAAGTAGAGCTAGGTAAAAGCAGGAAGGCGTCCTATAGCACTTAACGGCCCCGTGTAGTAGTAAAGGGTGCCGTGGATCTAGAAGGCTATTACGCCGCCGGCACCGGCACCTTAACGTGTTTCCGTACACTGTATAGACGTAAACGAAAAGGTATTATTATATTAACGGATTCTTTTACAGTAATCTATAGCCTAAGCGGTATCCGCGTATAGTAAATATTAGAAGAAGTCGGGTAGCGGGGAGATAATAGGAACATTAATATCGCCCTGGTTATAATAGGTGCCGAATTTCGGGTTTATAGGCGATAATTCCTAAGTAATAGAAGATAATAGCCGTTAGCTAATAACTAATAACGCGGGATATAAAACTAACCTATAACTTCTCCTTAATCTAATAGAGCGTAGTATAATATTTATACTCTACGCGTATTAAGCTAAGATTATAATAATCGACCGTAATACCCGGCTAATACTACCCTAACGGCCCGGAACGCTCTTAATATTCTTTATAGCGGTTATAGTTCGGGAGACGCTAGTTAGCCGTAATAGCCGCTCCACGATCTGCCCTGCTATCCTAGTAGTCGGTATAAGTATTATACGGAGTATTATTACGGCGCGTGGGAAAAGCGGCCGTAGTAAGGTAACGGTGGCAGGCTAAGTAATAATAACCCGGAGTAGACTATAGAGCGTTACGCTATAGGGGATAATAGCGTCGCGTACGCGGGCGAGGAGGCGTAAGGGGAGGGTGGCCTATTAGAACGGTTAGTGCTATTAGAACGGTTAGTGCTATAGGAATGGTTAGTGGAGAGTGGCCTATTAGAATAGGTGGTAGAGGAGCCGTAGAACCTGTAGGAGGTGCAGGAAGGGCTTAACGGGCGGCTTAACGGTCGACTCGACGGTCGGCTCGATTAGCTCTATAGGTAATACAGGTAGTATAAATCCTTTAACGTGCCCGCGGATAGAAGCCGAACTCGGAAAACGGCTTAATAGTATCGTAACCACGGTAGCGCTTAGGCTCGCGCTCGGTTTAACTAACTATTCCTACGCCGTTATAGCGTTACGAGCTAAAAAACGCCTAAAAAAATCGTATAGCGTAGGAAAAGGCTTTACGGGTAGTAGACCTATATATAACGGTATAGTCTAGTCGTTAAATATAGCCGTAATTTATATAGTTTTTATTACTAAAGATACGTAAAAAGGGGCTAAAATATATATAAATATATATATTACGAAAGTAGATAATTTTACGGTGGTATAGCTATATACTATGGAACGAAGTCGCCCGAAAAACACCGTAAAATCCCGAAAAACGGGCACGGGTAGTAGTACCGATACGAATAACGCAGGCTGCCAAGAGTGGTCGACAAATAAAGCGGGCCAGCTTCAGTGTAGACTTAGAAGAGCGAAAGGACAAAAGGCAGTCTCAAGCAGAGTACCGTATCCGTTTATATAAGGTAACGGGATACGGCATCTGTGTCGAACAGCTGCGTCCTTGTCGATGCTCCCTTTTACCCCAGCTCAGCTAGGTAAGAAACACTGCTGCAGCACGTAAAAGCACCCCATAGGCGGCCACCTCTGAAAGACTTGTCAAAAAAATTAAGACTCTGACACCCAATTCATGTAATCAGGACTCGGTAACGCCTCTGTGAGTACCCATCTGCGTCTAAAGAGAAGTGCAACGTCTGTCATTTCAGTTCGTTCGTCGTGGTGGCCGTCGCCGAGCTCGTCGTAATCGTAAAATCGTCATCGAGGGATAACTTTTCTCGGAGCGCCGCAGCATCTGCCCCGAGATGCGCTGCCCCGACACCATTCAATTCCGGATGTTCCGCTCGGGAAAAGGGACTCCCTTCCCGTGCAGGTCGAGGTGTCAAATCTGATGTGTCTTCGCCAGTCGATTGTTCCGTAGTCGTCCCGTCGGTCGTGTCAGGACTTGGCGAAACGTCGTAAACTTCGTCCCCTCTCTTTTCGTCATCAAACGCTCCGCTGTTCGTGATCATCGTGTCCATTTCGATCTTCTGGTGACATGCATGTTCGTCGTCGTCTTCAGTTCCTTTTTCGGGTGCCGTGTTCCCCGCTTCATCGTTATCATTTGCATGGTTCGTGTCGCCCTCGTGGATCGCCTTAGTCGAGTCGTGTTCCACAGTTCGAGGTATATTGCTCTCCGTTGCCATGTCGATCGGGTCTCTGTAATCGTCATCTAGGACCTCCGTTGGTGCATCGGGCGAAAGATCTTTTCCCTTGACAGACACGAGCGAGCCATCTACCTCTGGATCTTGCTCCGCGCATTGCGACGTTGGAAGCTTCTCAGGTCCCGGCTCGTTCTCAGGTCCCGGCTCGGAAGCGACGTTCAAGTTGACATCCGTACTATTTACCTCAGATGATGGAGCCAGATCTTTCTCGTCGTCGTCCGCCGCCGGGACCGGGTCTAGGTCTGATCCTGACACTGGGCCTGTGCTGAGCTCGATGTGACTAGGGGTCGTTCCTTCGGCTAGCGACGGAGCCGACATGGACATGTCCGTCAGTTCCATCTTCATACTTGCATCGAATGAGGTGTTCTGTGTCGTTGGCGACGTCGAAATTGTTCCTACGGTCTGGCTTGTCTGTTCAGATGAACCTTCGGGAACAGTTGGGGTGGTATCCTCGTTGCGCTCTAGCATTGAAGAGGAGGCTCTGCTTGTCGTTGGTGTCGGGCTCTTCAACCGTTCCATCTCATCGACACCGACATCGCTATAGGAAGGCGCAATGTGCTTAGCCGAAGCCCAACCAGGGAATGCGTGGCTTTCGTGAAACGGGCCAAAGTGCGGGTAGTGGCCAACTAAGGGGCTCGGAGGAGAGCGCCCCCTGGTGTAGTAGTAGGGATCGTACGAAAAGCCATCATCGGGTTGGGCTAGTTTTAGGTAAGGCCACTGGTCGTTGTACGTATTCACCGTTGTGATTCCAGGGTGGTCACCGGCCACGTAAGGGTCTAAGCAGGCTTCTCGCATCGAGGAGGAATGATTTACCGAAATGGCTGGGGCCGGTCCCCTCTTATGGTCTTCGAACCTTTCGACCCCTTCGTTCTCAGATACCGACACGTATTGGGGAAACATGGTGAGAAGAGTCGAAGCTTGCGGTCGCCCTCGTGGGTCCTGACTCAGGCACCTTTCCACTACCCGCCGATACCACTCCGGAACCAGAACGTCAGGTTCTAAGACCAGTGGTCGGCTGTGCTCTTCTGGGTTGTCTTCTTGCGTGGCCAGCGACCACAGAACCATGCCAAGCTGATAAAGGTCGGACTTCACACCGATGTACATGGACAGTCGCTGGCCGCTCTCAATCACCGCAGTGGCTTCAGGAGGTTCCCATCCCACGGGACAGCCTCGCCGGTTGATGTCTATGATTTTCGCGTCGCCCTTGTCGTCAATGACGATGTTAGAAAGTGTGAAGTCTCCCTGAACGAATCCGGACTCGTGAATGTCTGCGAGTCCTTCGACGATCTGCCTCGCCCATCGTTCCCGGATAGGCCACGGCGTCCCTAGCTCGGAGTCCTGGCGGTTGTCATAAAGGACGTCGATAAGAGCTCCCTGGTCGGCATAGCTGATCAACAGGCCCTTGATGTACTCGTCCTGGTCATCGACAACCACCCCATAGAAGCGGATGACACTTCTCGAGTATCGGAGACGGCTAAGGGCGTTGATCTCGTAGAGAAACTCGTCGACCGTCTCAGGGCCCGGGATTTCCTTCTTGACAAGCACCAGGCCACCGACGTTGACTTTGTAAACGAAGCCAGACATATGGGAATCGAAGAGTATGTCCCTTTCCCGGACTCTAAGGCAACCCAGGTGCTGCACTTGGCGGACCAGAGGGTACGGGATAATTTCCTGTTTGGTGTCAGCAGAGCGATTCGACCACGCGCAGAAGGACACAACGGAGGACAGATCACCGGGGATGGGGCCAGACGGACATTGACATCCTCAACGACGTGCACATGAAGCCGTCCGTCGGTGGTCTGCAGTTTCAGGTTCGTCACAGTGTCGTAGAACTGAATATCTTGCAAGCTTTCTCGGATGGCCTCATATATCTTCGCACTCTTCTCACGCTGGTACTTGGTTTGGTCAAGATCCATCTCGAGCGAGTTTTCGGGGGCGTGTCGGTAGTCGAGGGAAACGGTCACGCGCCGCCACAGCCCTTTGAACTTATCCCAATAGGTGACGAAGAACTTTTCCCGTTTCGATTTGTCCCGGAAGTGCATGCTGAGGTTGAGAATCCAAGTCCGCTCTAGCTCTTCGTTGATCATGGCGTCGTATGCGGAGGTCGTGTAGGAATGAGCGTCGTCGGCGTAACAGGACTCGTCTTCTGCGACCGATCTGGGATGATCGGGCGCCAACATGCCATCCAAGCTGTACTCGGGATGCCCGAAGACGGAAGCAGCCTGGGCTGATGGGGCGGACTGAATTTCATAGCTGAGAAGGCCGGGGGCACTGGCTCGTGGGAAAGCTTGGGGCTGCGAGAGGGCGCGTGAGGCTTGGGCACGACGATCCACGGACACGGCTCTCCTCTCGTCTGGAGTAAGCTCAGCCGGGGCCAAGTTTGTCCTCTGCTCTGACTGCTGCCTCTTGAAGGTCTGTACCCGAGGCAAGCCGGGGACGACCTGCCTCGAGGGCCGCCGCCTTACAGCGGTTTTCTCCCCGTCGTCCGTGCCAGACATGGTCTCTTGCTCCGGGGGGAAGTCAGTAGCAGTTGGCGGGACGCCATTCCGGTTGTCGAACGTCCGGAAGAAGTCTTTCGAGGAATGGATTGGTGAGCAAAAAGGCTCCGTTGGCGCGACGGCAGTCTGGGCCATCGGAAACGCGTCGGGGCTTCCTCGCGGGTCTCTCGTCCAATTCCCAGAGCCTGACCTCAAAGAGAGAGGAGGGTGAAAATAGTGTCTGGGAGGACTGAGGCCACAAGAGCCCGCGAGGATCCAAGCGGTGTGAGATGTGTTATGGTGGTTTTGAGTGGCGGGGCTGTGGTTGTCAATATTATGGGGCTAACTAGTCGCGGGACAGGGATCTGGTCAGGAACTCAAGGGGCAAGGGGCAACCCTTGACGAAACGAAAAAAAGCCCACCACCCAGTCAAGCACAAGCGTGGACCCGACTTCGCGTGGCTGTTGAAGGATGTCAACGCGTGTCAGGAGTGCTGAGGGAGAAGGGGTTGGACCCTTGGGAACAAGCCGATGGGTAAGGGGGAGGTGACAAAGGAATGGTCTCCTGAGTCGTGAGCGACCGCGAGCACAGAGACGTCACCCAGAGAGACGTAGGTATCCGAGGGGAGGGTTCGAAGACATCAGATGTCTCGTGAAGCGCCAATGGATAAGTGCAGTCAGAGGTCAGAGGGGGGAAGGGGGCCCAGTGAGAGGAAGCAGCAAGCGGGTAAAAGGAGAGTCGGAGAGAAGTTCGAGCAAGGGCACTGCGGCCTTATGTTGAAGAACAGGTGGGCGTGTATGTTTCTTTGAATAAAAGGGGAAGAGCGAGCTGCGAGATGCAAGGCGACTCGGAGGTGTCGTTGGCTAATTGGACCAGACGCTAGATCAAGACCAAATTTGGCGGGCTGTGTACGTTGTATGCGCGGGTTCTGGGGTTCTGGGGGTGGCTTTTTACGGGTCGGTCTCGCGTTGGCGTCAAGCGTCAAGGGTTCAGCGTGCGTGCGTACGTTGTACAGTAGGCTCTCTGTGAACGAGCATGTGAGGGCAAAGACAAAAACGTTATGTTGAAAAGACGGGACGACATAGGTCAGGCAGCAGACACAGACATGGCCGCATCTGCAGACCCAGAAGGGGTTAGTTAGGGGAATGGATTCGCTGCCACGCAAGATGAGGCTTGTTGTCTTGGACTAGCTAGTTTGGATGGGATTTGGGGCTAAAGAGCGAAGGGCCGGGATGAAGGAGGAGGCCAAGCGGCGGGAGTGGTGGACATGGGAATTCGTACCATTGAAATCGACGAGATTTCAGGCACAAAGCGACGAGGACAAGATAGTGAGTTAAGGTAGTTACCATATGCAGGAGTAAGAAGAATAAGGTGGGATTGGATACATGGATGGGAAGATGGGTGTATGGGGTGGTGGATGGAATTTACGACGGTTTGACGAGAAAGACTGGGGGGGAGGAGCCCGGAAAGACAACCCGCGTTGGCCAGAGAGAGGGGGGGCAGGAGGGGAATGTGACGGGGGCTTTTTGCGGTCTTTGGGAGGCTGGTTGGATGTGGATGGAGAGAGGCTGGAAGAGGAACGACTTGTGATATTTTCCCATGTTATGGTGCGGTGTGTGATAGATAAGGCCGTATCTGCATATGGTGAGTAAGCAGTTTGACGCTGGTGTATTGAAGGATGGGGGGTCTGTTGTTAGTATACGTATACCGTATAGATACCTTACCTAACCACAGTATCAATACAGTATAATCACCTGGATCAAGGTACTTTCTAGGAGATTATATCGGGAACCAGGAAATACCTTAAGTATCCGGCAGTATAATATATGTGCTCATCCCCTATATCCCTTTACCAGGACTCGTGTTGATTAAGATGAAGAATAGTTTACACAGAAGAAATTTATAGAAACTGTGCCGGGTTTTAAGTGTAGCATTGACCGTTGATACGTGTAAACGGCGGGTGCTACCTCATCATGGCCACGCCAGGGTAGGTGGATACGGACTGTGTACTGGTGTATCCGTACGGTATACGGAATACTCGTACTACCGGTACTATACCTTCGAACAGGCTAACGGGGGAGGCGGGTTCTAAACCTAAATAGGTAGAGAAGATATCTAAGGGATTCAATGGGGAGACCTCACGTTTCAATATCGAGACCTCACACGTGACATTCTAGTGGGGCCATGCGCCACCGCCAAGATGCATATATACCGCACCTATTTTGTATGTACACATTATGTAAATAATCGTAGGTAACATAGTAACCAACTCAATCTCAACACTCAATCCCAATACTCAAATCTTAATACTCATCTCGGAGCCGTAGGCGGTTATTTTATATAGGATATCGTGTAGGATATCATGACTTATTATTATAGTGTTTTGGGCGGTTGGATTCAGAGTTACGGTGTGGGAAGTGATACGTTAAGGTTTACGATGTCGCCTGCGATTTTCTACATAAAGTGTACATACAAAATAGGTGCGGTACATATATATCTTGGCGGCGGGTTCATAGCCCCACTAAAATGTCACGTTTGAGGTCTCGATATTGAAACGTGAGGTCTCCCCATTGAGTCCCATATCTAATTACTGTACGAAGTCCGAAGGAAACAACCAGATGCTCTCTTTCTAGCGTGATGAGTTGGCAGTTTCAAAGACCCGGTTCCTACTCTCAAGGTGCCTGATTTTCTGTCTCTCCACTGCCGGTTAAGTGAACGTCACGTTTGTCACAGCTCGCCTTATCCTCTCTTTGATCACTTCGTAATGAGTTTGGCTTACCCTACCTATAAGGCGCCCAACTGTCAGCCCGCATCCCTTCTCATGGCCTAATCATCATGACAGCCCACAGCTAAATTGTCTTGCTTCGTCATATTTGGTTTTAACAGATTCTCGTCTTTCGTCATCTTGCTCGTTTCCCTTCCGATACGTTCAGACAAGACTTGCTTACCTTAAGGTACCTTAGTTAGGCCTTGATGGTCTTGGGCACCTACGAAACTCTACAAGACCACGAGACTACGCAAGACCTTTGCGTTCTCTCTAACCTCTTTCATCCCTACCTACCTTACTCATCCAGTACCCCAATTCATCCCACCCGTCCAACTCCTTCTCCTTCTCCTTCTCCCTTTCCCCCCCTCCCCGCCTACGGATTAATCATTGGCTCCTTATAGAGGCGAAGCTCTCGGCTACGCATGGTACGACGTGATTAACTTTTACTAGGTACCTACCCGGGAAGTGGGGAATAGGACAGAGATGTACACTGTAATTCGTTTTACGCCCCGAATTCAACCCTGGCCCACATGACCACTGCCATCTTCAGTCTCCTACCCGCGCCCGCCCTGGTCGTCCTGGGTGACTGGTCAACCCCGAATCGCAGGATACCGGAAATTATTATAATGCGCGACAAATCATTTCGGGGGCGACTCGTGCCAGGTATCACTGTCCTACCCATCCCACGCTTAGAGTCCTCCCCTCCTGCGGGGTTTTTCATTCCGTTGCCGTTCGAATTTCCCGACTCCCGCTGAGCGCATGCCATCTCGACGTGGCACGACAGCAGCAGCAGATGTTGCACCAGCATGGCGTGACATCGAACCCAAGCCCTACATGCGACACATTGGACCGGCTTATCGAGACAGGAGCTTTCGGGAGGTGCCATGCGGCCTGTAACAACCAGACCGACCCTACGTCTCAAACAATGGACAGGTCGCATAATTTAAGAAAGGCCGAGGCAAACCGCCGTCAGACACCAAATCGCTTCAACACTTGCTAGTTAAAGGGCGTATCATGACGGAAGAATTGTGATTAAGGTCCCGGCCGAAAGGGGGATCGTCGGGTCGGGTTGAACTCCACTGATTGCCACGACAGGATAGGTTCCGATCTGCCCGGATCTGACATTTCATCATTCCTTCCTTGGAGGATCATTCCAATTGTCCAGCACCACTGAATTCAGTCATTTCAGGTTACTGAACCGCCCAGCTCATGCCATCGAAAAGTCAACCTACTACGGTAGTTAGGCCCTGTTATGTGTGCCATATTGTCGTCGTCACCGTTGCTTGTCGGCTCAGTCGGATCCATTCAATCGGGTTACTTACGACGGCTCAGTGAGCTTGGGCATCAACGCGGCCCAAATTGTGAGGCTGAGGTTGGTCCTTCTCCTGTGTGTGAATGTGAATGGGTGCAACAACAACAACAACAACAACAGCACGCAGGTCGACAGGCGCATCGCACGGCCCTACTTCGTACATTAGTCCCGCATGAGGAAGGAACCACATTCAATTGTTCCAATGGGGACTTTCGGGCGGTGCATCCTCATCTGATCCCTATTCCTCTCCTTAAATGGGCAACGGCAAGAGTTTCCAGTTCTTCCTTAGCCTGGGATGGCCCTTCATCCACTTCCTACCGTCAACGTCGCCTGTCCTGCGACCACGTCGCCCTTTTTCATCTACTCCTGCAGATGCACCATGCGCCTAGACGCTGGATCTGGGCCTGTTTACTGCGACATGGGACCAGTTTGAGACCCCCCGTGGGGGTGGGGCGCCTTCGCAGCTTTCGCTCCATGGTTGGGTGAGCTTTGTTTTGAGAGGCCGCGGACAGCGCGGCCTGCTTGACCAGACCAAAGTCGTTTTCGACTCCTTCTCGAGGTAAAAAGAAGTTGATCTGTCCTGGAAGCTTACAAAAGACGACTTCGCAGTGATTACCTATTATCTCCCAGTCCCACGTTGAGATCTAGGTCCTCTCCGCGGAAACTTCGCCGTCTGGGATCTTCCGTGTTGTCCCAATAAGCCTAGCTCCGAGTCGTCACATGGAACATGGATCGTCTCGTCCCGTACCTAGCGTCCGGTCTGTTGGTCGGATTTTCTCTCGATACCAATCCGTCCCAGTGATAATGCAGATCCAACCTTTCCGAAGCGCCAACACAATGTTCTTAACGGGCCACAACCATTCACTCGGCGTGAAAGGTTGCGTGGTAGGCAAGCAGAGGAGAGTGTGAGACAGGGAGAGAGACAGCTCTCACACGGGACGACCAGCTTCTCCCTACTTTTGTCAGTGGGTGCTGACTTGTATCCTCTGCAGCACCCAAACAAACACAGACGCCCGTTTCGTAGGTCGTCAACTAGACGATTAACGTAGGGCGATTTCCGGGACCGTCATTCATCCTCCTGTTACTCTCTTCCCTTTCCGTTTCAGGTTTTTTTTTTTTTTCTTTCTTCTTTTCTTCTTTTCTTCTTCTCTTGTTTTCTTCTCTCGCTACTATATCAAGCCTGTCTATGATTATTCCTCCATCTCGTGGACCACGCGGTCTAGAGGCGCTTCCTTCAGGAAGGAAAGGCTTTCTGTGATCGCTTGTCTAACTGTCGGGATGGAAGAATGGAGATAATGGTTAGTGTATGACCTCTCCCTTCCGCAGTAGTTGGCTGCGGAACACAAGTCCCTTGTAATCTGTTATGCCAAGGCGTAATGGTCCCCGTCGCCCTGGTCGGTCTGACGTGTTTAATACCTTAAGTCTCATCTCGACTCGGTCTCTATGATCTTCCCGTCACGCTTGTTCGTTATGCCTCTCATTTTAACCATATCTTTTTCTTCAATTCACCTAATTTGCCTATGACAGCGGCTCCCGCTGCAGCTCTATCTATCCATCTGCTATTATTGCCGATCTGACAGTTCTTGGACACACCCATTTCGGAGTGGAGTGCTTTGGGCTATAGTCCCACCATGAGCTCCACAGACGACGATAGCTGCATTGCTACTTACACCCCGTCCAGAACGCGGCAGCGAATCCGTAAGCCTGCACCAGTCCTCGAGGTCCCTCACATAGAGGAGAATGCGGACGAGAGGAAGAGAGTCTTAAACGTTCTGGCTCAAAGGACGTACCGTAAGTGGCCCATCCCCGGTCCCAGACTTGTAGTCTCCTAAATCCCAAGGAAGCCATCTTGGTAGTCCCTGTATTACTTCCGTACTTCCAGAAGAGAGGCAGCACCTAACATCCACCAGGTGAATGAAAGAGACAAAACCGCACTGCGGCGGTGAAACAGCAGCCACCCTCCAATGGCGGCTGTCAGACCTCCGGCAGTAATCCCGATGGGGAACCGCAAGTCGACTCCGAGAGTCCCGCTTGTTCCGTATCGGGTTCCACGCCACCCGGGTCCACCACCGTTTCCGCCCCGGTGCCGGACATGTTGGCGTTCCAGTCAACAAGCACTACGCCGAGGATCCCATTACCCTTACAAACACAGGAGGAACCCCCACTATGCGGCTTCGAACTCGGCCTCGGCCTAGGCTGGACGGAACCCACCATCACGTCTTCCCTCATCACAGGCACAGTCCCGCCATCCTCAACCAGCGAATGCGAATCGGCATGGGCCACATCAACGCCGAGTAGCCTCCACGCCACCATCGACCCGTCATACCTGGTTGACTTGACTTCTCCTCGAACAGCAGCGGCGGCGTCGGACTACCATCATCAGATTCAGGGCTCACCACCTCAACCACGTTCGAGTTCCCCGACAGCTACCACCTCCCCGTCAACGAGCTGACACCCCTCCGCGCATTCATGCGCATCGCGAGCCGGCTGGGCTGCTCGGCCGAGGTATGGAGCGCAACGGCCCGAGGCGGCGCGGGACCCGCTGGCGCTGTACAACCTGGCGTACGACATGGGGGACGCGGCGGAGGGAGTCCTCATCTGGGGGTCGGACCCTTACGATGTGGCGGGCTGGGAGGTCGGCCAGGTGTTCTTCGAGCGGTGGTGGTTTATCTTGGATAGGGGCGTCGTTGAGCAGAGTAATCGGCTGCGGGAGTTGCGGGGGGCGGCCGCCTTGCGGATGCAGATGCAGAGCTTGCCGGGCGGACCGCGGGTGGAGGCCTTGGCGTGACCGACACCGATTCTGCCCTCTCGTGCAAACGGATTGAGATGGGGTTGTGCGAGGCGACGAGACGGGAAAAGAGTGATACGGTCTATAACGCTGTTGTTATAATATCCACTTCGTAAGTTTGTTTGCAAGGGCCTTCGACGGGCGTAGTGGTTCAGACGCAAAACGCCGCCCCGAGGTAGGTCAATCTGACCTACCAGACCTACCCGTCAACCTGCCCGACTTGATAATAGTTCCACCCGAGCCACGATACCACCGCGACAGCCCGAAATTCCCCGTCTATCATGATCCATCAATGTATCCAACGTCTTCCAGCACTAAGTCTTCCTCCAAGTCTCTAGTGATACTACTTCATCTTATTTAGCGGCCGACTTCTGGTAAGTGGGAAACAGCTGACGCATAGGTATTCGGTCGGAGAAGAGTCCATCTCGATTCCTCCTCTCGTCCTGTAAAGACGACCATCCTAGGTCTTTGATCGTGGATCTCCTGGATCTATCACACAGGATCCCATTCTTCTTCTCTAGACCAAGCCATGGGCGGGAAATCACCCACAGATAGCCCTATCCCCCACAGCTCCTGTCCGACTCTTACTTCCAGCTCGACCCGAGCACGACGGACTTTGGAATCTACCGTCAGAAATTCCCGGTAATCCATAGAAATCTACCCTTCTTTCTTTCGAGAGGGAACTTCCTTGATTCGCCGGTGGGTTAAATAGCTAGAAATCAGAACCATCGTGACAACGTGGGAAAATATCAACTTCTTTGAGAGGGGTTCGCGGGCGCACCCAAAACCCCGCCCCGTGCAGGTCACGTGATGCTCTCATAGAAAGGAGATGACAACGGATACTTGATGGATGTACGTACCTGAAGTGAAGCCACTTACGGAGTATCGACCAATCAGACCACAGCGTTTTGGATTGCTGGAGGGGCGGTCTGGTGAATTCAGTGGGACAGAGGGGCAGCAAGCCCGGGATTGCGGGGCAATACATACAACGTCAATGGGTGCAGAACGGGTAACTCGTCGTATCTTTTCCCCTCACCCCTTCGTCGTGTTAGCATTTACCAGAAACCAGTAATATAGCCAGAATACGCAGTGGAAACAAGTTTATGAGAGAGGTCTTTGAGTTCATAAATACGCCACTCTACACTAAGACTAATTCATGCCGTTGGACGGCAGCTTCCAAAATGGACAACCAGTTTTCTCTTTTTCGTGGACCTGGGCTCAACGTCCCTTAAGGTCCGGAGTACCGACAGAGTCGCTCCTCGTGGCAGTAATCACCTTACTTTCCATCTCTACACTTCCCAAACCAACCAAAGCATCCGTCCAATGAACCAAACAAGATCCAGCTGTGCCGCCCACGAACAGAACTGAAGACGGGATACTAGGTTCCCCGCCCGCCTAGTACGGATGCTATTCTACTATTTCCCTTGTGTCCATTTGCATTTGCGAGGACATGGTGAGGACCGGAGTACACCGGAAACGGTACCTCTTGTATAAAGTACCTTTACAATAAGTCTCGAGTTGTACATCTATTTCTACGAAGTACAGCCAATTATCCGTACTCCGTAGCTCTGTAAGGTAACTTTCTCCATGAGACCGAAAGCGTTGGAAAAGACGAGGGGTATTCGCCAGACCCTAGGCAAAGTACAGTTCCTGCACGGCGGGGCTGATACACTTCGACCAATCAGACCTGCAGTTGGGCCGGTGTTCGGAGGCTATTGTGAAATCTTCCACTTAGAGTAGTGGGGAACTCCCACTATGCGGTGACGAAATCGGCACTATGTACACCGTAGGCAGCTTGGAGGGGGTGGTTATCTGTACGAAGCACAAAGCACATACGGATAAGGTACGGAGTACCACTCCCAACCTAAGGTAAGGTAACTTAGCTCCCCACGTACCTTAACCTACTAGGGTACCTTACAGTTCTCACGGTTGTCATTGAAGGGGCCATTGAACTGCAACCTACAAAACTTCCTCGCACTTTACATCACCACATTCTAAACTCTTCCTTTTCCCTTTCGTTTTTCCCCCTTCCTTTTCCTTTGCTTTCCCTTTTCCCGTCTCTGTTCACACACTTCTTCATAGTGACAGATCTCGGTGGCAGATATAGCTAGTTCCGGTCCTCTCTTCGAAGGAGCTTCAAACAGTCTCGAGAGACCTATTAATTTTATCCCGTTCCCTTCTCCTCGCAGTTTCCCTGGGTGAGTCTTTGACTTTGGTGCCTCCCTTTGCTATTATTCAGCTTGTCCTCGTTTTTCACCTACTCGGCAGCTATGCGTGATTCTTTCACCTTCCCCCCGTCACAGTCACTTGAATGCAATATTCGAGGCCCCTCTATGTGCTGCTTGGAATACTCATAGAGTCATACTCGCTTGATGTTCGGGTCCTCGAGTCCCAGGCTCATTGGAAGCTTCTTACACCCAATTGGCTAACTACTCCTCTATTTTCCCGTAGATCATCCTCTCTGGTATTCCTATAGTCAATTTTGTGCAGCCGAACTTTCTCGGCTTTCCAACTTCCCTTCGGCGTCGTTCTTAACCGCTGCAGCCTCACCTTCTCTAAACCCCCTCCCAATCCAACTCCAATCTTACCGCGGCCACCACCACCTACAATCGACCTTGAGGCAGAATCTGCCCACCGTCTACGATCATGCACATCAAAGATATGCTCCGTGAGGCGGAGAGGGACGGTCAGCCGTCCTTCTCCTTCGAATACTTCCCTCCCAAGACCGCCCAGGGTGTCCAGAATCTCTACGACCGCATGGAGAAGATGTATCATATGGGTCCCAAGTTCATCGACATCACCTGGGGCGCCGGTGGTAGAATTGCCGAGCTCACCTGCGATATGGTTCTACAAGCCCAGAGCATTTACGGCCTCGAGACGTGTATGCACCTGACCTGCACCGACATGGGGCTCGAAAAAGTCAATGACGCCCTGCACAAGGCGTACAAAGCCGGCTGTACCAACATCCTTGCCCTCCGCGGTGATCCGCCCCGCGACAAAGAGAAGTGGGTGGCCGCCGATGAAGACTTCCAGTACGCCAGGGACCTCGTCAAGCACATCCGCGACACCTACCACGACAACTTCGACGTTGGTGTCGCCGGCTACCCGGAAGGCTGTGACGACAACAAGGACGAGGAGCAGCTGCTCGACCACCTCAAAGAGAAGGTCGACATGGGTGCCACCTTCATCGTCACCCAGATGTTCTACGACGCCGACAACTTCGTCCGCTGGGTCGGCAAGGTGCGCGAGCGTGGCATCACCGTCCCCATCATCCCCGGCATCATGCCCATCGCCACCTACGCCAGCTTCCTGCGTCGCGCCAAGCACATGAACTGCCGGGTCCCGGACGAGTGGATGGCCGCCCTAGACCCCGTCAAGAACGACGACGTCGCCGTCCGAGAAATCGGCAAGCACCTCGTGGCCGACTTGTGTCGCAAGATCCTCTCGGCCGGCATCCACCATCTCCACTTCTACACCATGAACCTCGCCCAGGCCACCCGCATGGTCCTCGAGGAGCTCGATTGGCTGCCCACCTCCGAGCGTCCCCTCAAGCAACGCTTGCCCTGGAAGCAGAGCCTGGGCTTCGGCCGGAGAGCGGAGGACGTGCGCCCGATTTTCTGGAAGGGCCGCAACAAGTCCTACGTCTTGCGCACGAAGGAGTGGGACGAATTCCCCAACGGCCGCTGGGGCGACTCGCGCTCCCCGGCCTTTGGTGAGCTCGACGCCTACGGCATCGGCTTGACCGGCACCAACGAGCAGAACCGCAAGAAATGGGGCGAACCCCAGTCCGTGCAGGACGTGGCCGACCTTTTCGTCCGCTACCTGAAGAGGGAGGTCGACTCGCTGCCCTGGAGCGAATCGCCACTCACCGCTGAAGCCAGCCCCATCCGCGACGACCTGATTGACCTCAACAAGCGCGGCCTCATCACTATCAACTCCCAGCCCGCCGTGAGCGGCGTCAAGTCATCCGACCCGGTCCACGGCTGGGGTCCGCCCAACGGATACGTCTATCAAAAGTCGTACCTCGAGCTGCTCGTCCACCCCGACCTGTACCCCGAGCTGATCGCTCGCATCGAGGACCACCCGGATATGACCTACTATGCTGTGACGAAGGACGGGACCCTCAAGTACAACTCCCCGACCGACGGGCCTAATGCCGTCACCTGGGGTGTCTTCCCCGGAAAGGAGATCGTCCAGCCGACCATTGTCGAGGGCATCAGCTTCATGGCCTGGAAGGACGAGGCTTTCCGGCTAGGCGTGGACTGGGCGCATTGCTATGACCCCGAGTCTCCGAGCCGAGTGCTGATCGAGCGCATCATGAATGAGTGGTACCTGGTCAACATTGGTGAGTAGTGTGAACCAAGCCTTTCTCAACATCACGCCCCCCTCTCTTACCATTATCTTGCTCTTTTCATCTTTTTACGAGCACGCTTCCGTCTAACACGTTTTCCTAGTCAACAACGACTTCCATCAGCAACGGGAGATTTTCGAGATCTTCCAAGGTCTGTCCGTCAAGGAGTACGATGACATCAAGCCCGTAAGCCAGAACGGCGAATCGGCAAATGGCGTCGCCACAGCCTCCACCTAAGCCTCCGAAATAGCGGCGTCTTTTGTCCCCTTTTCCATCTTCACACCATACGATGCATTAGTTTTCAGGCGTTTTTCGACTCGGAATACACTACGGCATGCAGGGCGCGGGTTGGCATTACCCTGTAGCAGGAGCAGCGGGGTCGATGTCTGTTTTGTTCTTTTTTTCAACAAAAAAAAAATAGGGGCCAGACAATGGGTCGGCTTCATGGGCGAGGAACCTCTCTATATTCAAGGGATTCGCCCGCTGTGGAAAATGGGGGAAGGAATTTAGCTGGGAAACGCTGACCGACATGATTTTCTCCTTTTTTTTGCATCCTCTCAACGCTTTATTACTCAACGATACTCAAACGATAACTCAACGATACCCCCTCCAAGAGCCTACGAATCAAGATCCAACGAAAGGGCCACGGTTCGTGGTTTGGAGCACGGAGTTCTTTCTTCAACAAGGGACAACATTTTCTTTTTTTCTTTATTTTTCATCTTTGTTTGTCAGTCGTCCTTGTCTTATCCCGGGTTGGGAAACACAAGAAGATAAGGTGACACATTCCAGCGTGTGCAGTGGCCTTGCCAAAGAGGCCAATTCCCGAGGCATTTGGTTAGAAGATGGGAGGCAATGCTGTGACGCGGATCGGTGGATGAGCGTACTAGATATCCGATGTCTTCTCAACGAAGAACCCGCAGCATTTGAATGCCAGTCTTGGTTCACTCGGTGAATACTTCGTCAAGGTGCTTTTGTTTCCCGGCATTGCGCTGTAAACACACAAGGGCAATGCTATGTTACTGTAGTGATTGCTTTGCCTTGAGATCCATTACTGGGTTCGTAAATATCTCCTGGACTTGGCCCCCAGCGCCTTCGCTTCTACAGAAACGGTAGCTTTTCCTAACCCCTAGAAGACGACGAACGGATGCACTTTTGGTCATCATGTATACTGACTCTCTATCAAACGATACCAAGAGGCACAGTCCTTTTGAACTACTGCTTCGATCCGAGGATTCACGCAATACCCCATTCGCCCTCGTCGTCGTCGTCGTCCGCGACCTCGTAATCCATATCTAACCTTCGATCACGAGTCGAGGAACTGCCCCGTCGCGTATTCTGGGCCTTGGTATCATCGGCAGTGTTCCCCTTCTCTGCATCCTGCATCGTCTCATCTTCCTCGGCCCCCTGTTGCTCCTCCTTCGAGGAACCGGGACCTGAACCGGCGTGGTCGACCGGGGATTGCCCTGGCGCTTTGTTGACCCAACTGAGCTCCAGCTCGCCTTCAATGCCGGCGATAGTTTTGTTCGACACCCCAAAGAAGAACTTCTCTGCGGTCTTCCGGTCTTTGAATGTTATTTGCGCGCTGGACGGTGTGCTCTCGATGTGTGTAAACTCTCCGACTCCCTAATGTCCAACTGTTAGAGGAAGGGGGGGGGAAAGCCCAAGCCGAAAAGCAATGACATGGAAGGGAAGATGACTGTGGCGGAAAGGGAAGAAAAGGCCAAGAAGGAGAGACACTTACGAGAAGATGCTGGCGGAGCGCTTCGTCCTTCTCAGGCTCCGTAAAGTCAACGCCGGAGATGGCCACAACCCTAGGCCGGTTATCAAGCGAGTAAGCGGCGTACGCGGCGTGGACGTCGCCCCGACCGAACCCCCCACGACCACCACCACGGTGCCCAGCACGGAAGGATCCCCGACCGCGAGGCGGGAAGCCACCTCGGCCGCGACCCCGTCCTCGGAAGATCCCTCCACGAAAGCTGCTGCCGCCTCCTCCACCGTGAGAGCTCGCGTCATCCGCGTGAGGATCGAGGCCGAGGAGCTCGGCCTCTTCCTCGAGAGCCGCCAGCTGGGCACGCAACGCATCGCTAGTGGATTGGTTGCCCTCGGCGGCGTCGCCGTTTTGCGAACCGCGGAGCTTGGCCTGGAGCTTTCGCTTCTCCTCAAGCTGCCGTTCCATGAGCTCCCTCTGCCGCTTCTCGAGCTCTTCCCGTTGCCTCTCGAGCACCTCTTTTTCCCGCATCTTCTCTTCGTGCGCCCGCTGAGCCTCCTGTTGCTTCTTCAAAAACTCCTCCATGTCAAACTCGGGTCCGGCAGAAGCACCGCGGTCGGCGGAATCCACGTCCATGCCATCCGATGGACCCTTAGACCCGGAGGCAGAAGTAGAAGAGTCCTCCTTATACCAAAAGACTTTGACGAAGCGGTTGTCAAAGATGACTTTAGGGGAGCGATACGCTCCATTGGCAGCCGCCCAGGTATCGTACTTAATGACAGCCAAACGCCTGCGCGGCTGCATAGTCACTTGCACAATCTCACCAAACTGCGAGAAGAACTCCCTAACTTCCTCTTCCGAGAATTTCTCCTCGGGGATGTTCTCGACAACAATGGTACTCTTCGTCTTGTCATGAACCGGGCCCTCAGCGGAGATGGACGCTTTACGTTTGCGCCGCTGGCCCTGGCCACGTCCGCCGCCTCTGCCGCGGCCACCGTTGCCGTTCCCTCGAGCCTCCTTCTCCGCGTTGACGGCTTCCCACAGCTGTTGCAACTGTTGGAAATTCTGTGACAATAATGCTGCCGCCATACCTGTGGAGTAGTCTGCAGTAGAGCCGTGCCGTTAGCAGCTCATTCTCAAAGTCCGCCAATTTGAATCGCAACACAACATGAACCAAGGCCTCAGAATTTCAGAAGTCAACCTTATAATTATGGAAAGTCATCGCATATTTGCTCCCACAACAAAAAAAATAGGTGTCATCACATAAGACCGGGAAAAGGGGGGTACATATGGTAACAGGGCGCATCTTACCGTCAGGCCTGCCCACGGGGTCAGAAGGCAAATAAATCGGCCCCATCCCATGATCGAACTGGCATGAGTTGCCGCGAGCACAGAAACCCTTTGTATCAAAGTCGCGACATCTTTGCCGTCTCCGCCGCGACGTTTGTGGCGCACCATATGGCGGCCTCGGCTGAGGACCACTAGGAAATGGAGGGGGCTGCTGAGGAAGCCCGTATGCTGGGGTCGTAGGTAGGGTGTTGAAGGGGTTTACCTGGGTCGGATCGATAGGAGGCAGTTGGGACGGGAAGGCATTGGTAGGGAACACGTTTCGCGGGTCGTAGTTTTGGGAGCCGTTTGCATCAGTTGCAGGAATGCCACGACCAAAAGCGCCGCCCCTCCTAGGTTGCTTGAAAGCACGTTCGCCAGCAGTGGGCCTGTAGGCCGCCTCCGAATTTTCCCTCTCGTAATAAGAGCGTTTCCTGTTCTCTTCGGGGCGAGAGGAGGGCTCTTGGCTCGGAGATGACTGCGATTCAGGAGGCTTTTTTGCTGGGGGAGGACGTAGTTCGGGGGGAAGGAAAGTTTTCGACTCGATGGCGCGAAACAAGTCGTCCACGAACCTGGAAGTTGCATCTGCATGGGAAAGCACCAGCATCCTGTTAGTAAAGGGGCCCGGAAAAGAGATGAACAAATTTCTATGGGTGGGACGAACCAGGATTCAGGAAGGGCGGAAGCTCCGACTCGCAGCCGAGACGAATTTGCGACGCGTCTCCCTCCTGGGAAGTGAGCAACGCTAAAACGTAGTCGGCCAAAATATCAGTTTCCGTGTCAGATCTAATCAACACAATGTCAAGCGTTTGTCAGTTTGGCGATACTAGACAGAGAGAGAGAGAGCCTTCCTCTGAAATTGGAGAACCGAGGGATAGCACGGGAGCAACGAACACTTCAGGCAATTTGTTCATCAGCCATGCCTTCAGATGAGGCAATTCGTCTGCGGCGACGAACATGTTGGCAGAGAGATGAAGCGCGTCACCTTTCGCCAGCGCCGAGTGTAAGGTGTCTAGGAGGATAGAATGCCATCCGTACCGCAACGTCGAGGCAGGGAAGGCTTTGAGACGAGTAGGGGACGGACAATCAGGTACCGAGAGTAACGTTTAAAAAGGATAGCCTGATACCACTTTCGTGGGTGCTGGAGGATTAGATTGAATAAATATATCGTGGTAAGTTTGGTAAGGTGGATAGTCGGATGGATTGTAAAAAATTGGCTATTGGAAAAGTTGAAGCTGTTTTGTTTTCGCAAAGAGAAAAGACAGACATTGGGGCCCATTATTATTGTTATTATTTTTATCATTATTACGTAACCAAGAGCTACCGACCAATTCGGTTACGTACTTTGTTCCCACTGGGCCCATACACCGCACAGATCACATCGGTATCGAAGCTCAAGCTGACCGACCTCTGAAAGCATTGTAATTGCTTCGTACAGATACTTGAGATGAAATTTAGCCCATATCCGTACATCAGGTACCCAACCTTGCCAGTTATTACTCCGTTGACAACAAAAGGACGGTGGCAGCTAACCGTAGTCTACTCGACGGTTCATCACCTCAATGATCAAAGAGCACACGGCCAGTCAATCGTCTTACTGAACAATTCATAAATTCTTGTACTAGGCAAACCTACTATTGGGCGTCACACCGACCTTGACCTTTTGCAGGCTCGACGAACCTACCCTCTCACATATCCCTACTAAAAAGGTCTTTTTAACCGACTTCTCTCCTTATTGGTATATCGCGTCGCCGCCTCGTTAAACCACAGCCATTTCCTTCGTTTGTACCGGCAGCAAAGAGGTGTAAGGGTAGCTGCAGAACTGCGGCGCCAGCGAGCTGCTCTGGAAGAGCATCTTGGCGCGTTTCTTTTGGCCTGATATGAGGCGTCTATAGCTTGTCGTAGTACTGGAAAACACACACATATTAGTATAAGCTTCTGATTCCCTCGCAATCATGGGTCTGGTACTTACGTTCTCAACACCTGGAACCTCAACCTTGATACCCTTGCGCTTCCGCATCTCCTGCACAATCTGGCCGACCTTGGAGGTGCCGTCGAGAGGAGAACCACCGGGGAGGATTTGCCAGTGGTCGAAGACCGACTGAGGGAAGGCCTGGCCAGAGGTGGCCTGGCGGAGATCGGCGTTGTAGCCGAACGACTCGAGGACGGGCAGGTAGGCCTTGATGGTGAAGAGGGGAGTGCCGGGGCGCTGCTCTTCGGCGAAGACGTGGCCACGTCGTCGGGTCAGGACGCTGTAGACGCCACCCATGGCAGACTCGGGCACCTGAATCTCGGTCAAGAAGACGGGCTCCTGAAGGGCGGGCTCGGCAAGGAGGGTGGCCGCGTAGATGACACGACGGGCCGTAGGGATGACCTGACCACCGCCACGGTGAATGGCGTCGGCGTGCAGGGTCACGTCCATGATGTTGAACCGGATGGCACGCATCGGCTCCTCGGCAATGGGACCCTCGCGGGTGGCCCACTGGAAACCGGAAACGACCGAGTCCTTGATTTCGTGCAGGTACTGGACGGCCTTGGTCTGGTCGACGAGAAGGTTGGCACCGGTGGTGTCAGGACCGAAAGCCCAGATCTTGCGAGCGTCGGTAACGTCCCAGCCGTAGTCGTCGGCCAGGATACGGGCACGGGCCTTGAAATCATCACGAGGTCCGATCTTGCCACCCTCAATGTCCTGGCAGAGCTCCTCGGCCAGAGTGTCGGCCTCGAGGTAGATACGGTTGTGCTTGTTGGGGGACTTGGATAGCGCAGTCATGCTAGACTTGGCACCAACCGTCTCACGGTACTGGACGACGGGGTCGGAAATGATGAGGGGCACACCGGCGTGGTCGTTCTGGAGGTCGTTCAAGCAGATCTCCAAGTGAAGCTCACCAGCACCAGCAACGACGTGCTCACCAGACTCGGAGGTGAAGGTCAGGACGCAAGGATCCGACTTGGACAGACGCTTGAGACCCTCGACAAGCTTGGGAAGATCCTGGGCGTTCTTGACCTGGACGGAGCGCTGCACGACGGGCGAGACGGAGAACTTCATGACCTTGAGGTTGTGGGCCGTATCGAGAGTGGTGAGGGTACCAGACTTGAGCAGGAACTGGTCAATGCCGACAAGGCCGACAATGTTACCAGCGGGAAGGTCGTCGATAGCCTCGACCTTGCCGCCCATCATGAGGACAGTACGCTGGATGGCCTTGATGAACAGGTCGTCCTTCTTGCCGGGGACGTAGTTGGGGCCCTGGATGCGGACCTTGACACCCGACTTGACGGTACCGGAGAAGACACGACCAAAGGCGTAGAAGCGACCCTTGTCGGAGGTGGGAACCATCTTGGAGACGTAAAGCATGAGAGGACCCTTCGGGTCGCAGTCGCGGATACCAATGGCGGCCTCGTCATCAGGGGGACCCTCGTAGAGCGTCTCGGCACGGTACTTCTGGGCGGTAACGGGAGAGGGCAAATGGAGGATCAGCATCTCCAGAATGGCGTCGGCAGCGGGAAGGAAAGTGCGCATGACGGCCTTGAGGAGCTGCTTGCCCTCCTTTTCACGGTCCTCAGGAGCGAGCTTAAGGTCGAGCTTCTCGAGGAGTTTCTTAATTTCATCGGTCTTGAAGTTCATGACAGCGCTGAAGATCTTGAAGATGGGGTCCAGAATGAACTGGTTGAAGGCACGCTCGAGCTGCTTGCCCTCGTGGGTGCCGCTCTTGGACCACTTTTTGGTGGCAGGGTTAAAAAAGTTATCGCCCTAAGGGAGACGTGTTAGCGGGTTGGTTGGTTGCTCTTTGTATGGAGACTCGCAGCTCGAGTCAATGGAATGCATACCCAGAGACGCTCCATCATCTTGTTGCGGTCGACGCCAAACTTCTTGGCGTAGCGGGTAGCGAACTGACGGATGGTGAAAGCCCAGCCGTGAAGACCGGAGCCGAAGGCAACAGTACCCTTGTCGGGGTAAACCTGGACGTCGCCGAGGGCCTTGTCGTGATAGGTCGAGATGACGACGTTGACCGACTCGATGGTACGCGAGAAGGACTGGTACAGGTCCTCCTTCGAGACTTGCAGCTCCAGGAGGGCTCTGTCAACCTGTTAAGATGGACAAGCCCCACGTCAGTAAATCATTTCCGGGGCGCCTTCCCGCCCTTGCGGTGCGCTGTCATTCCTTGATCCCACGTTATCCATACCTTGTTGACAATGACGACCGGCTTAATCCGCTCACCAAGGGCCTGACGAAGGACAGTCTCGGTCTGGACGCACACGCCCTCGACGGTGTCGACGACGACAAGCGCACCATCGGTAACACGGAGAGCAGCAGTGACCTCGGAAGAGAAGTCAACGTGACCCGGCGAGTCAATCAGATTGATCAAGAAGTCAGTGCCGTCGGTCTTCTGGCCGACAATGTCCTTGATGTCCTCGGGATCGGGGAGGTTGCCGTAAAGGGAGATGGCAGTGGACTTGATGGTGATACCACGCTCCTGTTCATCTTGGCGTGTATCCGTTGCTCTCGCTTCTCCAGCTTTTGCGGTGGAGATGATACCGGCTTTGGACAGGAGCGAGTCGGTCAGGGTAGACTTGCCGTGGTCGACGTGGGCAATAACGGACATGTTACGGACATTGGTGGGCTTGTCCATAAGCGCCCGGATCTCCTCAATGGTGAAGCTATCATGGTGGGGGATATTGGTCAGCACATCGATCACAATGAATAGGACGAGACTGCTTAACGCCGAGGATCCGAGAAGCAAGCTTTGGTTTGTGAAGCTGCTGTAGCGACACTGGAGGAGGAGAGATGGAAGGGGAGGAGAGGATAGAGGGATCGATAGTTGAGAGAGAGGTAAGATGGTGAGACTGGTCCTATTTCGAAAAACCTCGAATGCCGCCACGACATCTTATTCGGCGGCAAAAAGACACGAGGCTATCAAAATCCTTTCAAGGAGCCATGGGCAATAGCCAGCTCAACCAAGGCCCAGCGACGTCCAAGACGAAGGACAAGCTAGACTTGAAACGCATACACAGATTCGACGACTACAGGAAGAACAGGGAAAAGAAAAGAAAGAACAAAAGAAGCCCGAAAAAGAAAAAAAACAGAGAAAGAAAAACTCACTTGACCATCTTGGCGGTGTTGTCGCGATGAGCTCGCTACGTGGAAAATTTGGGTGTTGTGGTAGCTGGGAGCGAAGCGGGGTCAAGATCTCTGCCCCGCGCGCGAAAAAATAAAAGGAAAACTTAAGATGCGCTTTCGCAGAAAGGCGATCGATAGGCTCTGGAAAAAGAATCAAGGGGAGAAGAAACCGATTCCACTGCCGCCCTTATATTCGTCGAGACGCTTCTGGAATGACGAGAAGGAGGACGAGGAGGTGGAGGAGGAAGGAGGGAAGGTTTGGAAAAGAAGAGTCGGACGGTGAGGGGAGGGGAGAGAAAAAAAAGGGTTGGGTCTTGTGGGTTAATCCAGTGGTGGTGTTCGTCTGGCCGGTCGCCGTGACAAATGCTGGCTGCTAGTGTTAACCCCGCTGTATCCGTACGTACCAAGGCATGTACCTTCTTCGTACTTGCCCCCTCAACCCGTCTCAGATGATCGCTGGCCGCGGTTGCTGGCTGCCCGAGCTGGGTAAGAACGGGGGAGCAGGAACCTGAGGGACTGAGGGTTGCCCCGCCTGACGAGATTTTGAGCACAGTGAAAATTGGATTGGGCAGGTGGGGCAAATCGCAGTTCTGCGGCCAAGGAGCGGTAACTCGATGATGTTGTACGTATTTGGAGGACCTATGAGAGGTATTCGTAATTACCCATGAGCCCGCCACGCCACAATGCCCTCCGCGGGGGGATATTACGGAGAAGGAGGTACAATGGATTGACTTGGAAGAACTTGAAGTTCGTTCATATCTACAAAGTACCTTACACTACACTTCCAGGCCGGTGACCCATCCCGTCAAGCTCCATAAGCAGTGATCCAAAGCATTGTGTGTCCAGGTAAAAGCAGAGATGGGTCCGGAGGCGAAAAGCTACGATTACGACCATGGGTCCAGACATCCATGAGAGAGGATAAATTTTTACTCGTACGGATGGATATACGGATATTGGTGCCTCCCATCTAGGTACCTATGGATACCCCTCCAAAGGACGGGAGTCCCGGCTCATTGGTCAGGGCAATAACCCTGGCTAACCGCACCACTTGCTCCGTGACATCACGACCAATACCCGCTCCTCGTCTACTTGGAGACACTTGCATACCACTGAGAATGTACAGAAAATCCTGCGTTCATGCACAGCATTATCACGGAGTTCACTTATTACTCGGTTACCATTGGGTTTATACGGAGTAAGGCGCAAGTCCGGTCGCCTATACTCCGTATAAGTGCACTTCAAACGACGCCGGCTTAGGTCATGGCATGTATGTATTATGGCTTTTTGTTTAACAATAGAATAAACACACCGGATGAGTCACTCGGAATAATAATAAATACATGTTCCAAAAACATACCTATCCTGTACCCAAACACCTGACCACCGGCACCGGGTGACTGTTGTTATACCTCTTAACCAAAACTGTCAAGCTCAAAACATCGCATCACCTACATCCTCTCTCATGATGATGACCCCAGGATCCTGCTGTAAGCGTCCTCCACCTCACCAGCCAGCTCCAACAACGAAACGATCACAATCTGATGCGTCAGGTTGGGCAACCGGTCCCGGTGTAAACCAATCCACTCCAACGGCGGCGTCGCCTCACCCATATCCCGTAACTGCGGCGTCTCGATAATCGGTGGCTCCAACGCCACATAGTCGTATTTGGACTGCGGCACATTCACCTCGGCCGTGATCTTCTGCTGCCCTTGCTCTTCCTCCCCTTCGGCCTCGGGCATCCCCGTCACTCGGATAGCCGTGAGCGGCAGCTCCCGGCCCCACGTCTGCTGGAGCGACTTGTTGTGCTTCGCCCACATACCCCGGATGTAGCTGATCCGTGAATAATTCCACCCGACCTCCACCTTGCCCTCGAAGGCGCTCTTGAAGATGTAGTCGATCCGATGGTTGTCGGGCTTCTGCCACGTCTGCATCACCGCTTGCACTTTCGGTACCTTCAGGATCGTGCCGCCCCTGGATCCCGTCGCCCTCGACGTCACGTCTTCCACCGATAGCTCGCTCAGCGTCTTGGGGCTCTCGATGTTCCTAACCCCGGCGAGCCCGATGCGCAGTTGACCCAGCGTCAGGTCCAAGATGCTGTGGATTCGTCTCCGTTCCATGCTTGCCGCAAACCGCGCTTGGGCGCCCAGCGCCTCCAGCTTGAACACCTGGTGGTCGGAAAAGGTGTTGGGGAAGACTCCCAAGTTCAGCGCCTTCAGTACCACCACGACATCCGTGTCGAGCGATATCGGCGACTTCGCTACCGTGTCGTCGGCCGGCAGCTGCGGAACGGTCGGCAGCCGTGGCGAAGGGGCCGTGTTGCTGTACGATGTCCGCTTCATGAACTTCTCAATCTCCTTCAGCGACGTCTCAAAGTTGGCCCGCCTTTCTTGGATCAACTTCTGAATAGCCTGGTAGAGCGCCATGCTCTGAGCCGCTGAATTGGTCGTACAGAACACCTGGACGGCATCACCGTCGAGATTGGCAACCAGCCGGTCACCGCTACCTTCCAGCCTTCGTCGGACATTGTACATGATGAACTCCAGGGTAGTGATATCAGCGACGAGGAAAGCCTGGTAATCAAAGGCCGTCTTAAGTCGGAACTGACTGAAACATATCGACGCCTGGATGAGCGGCGTCTCGTTCAGTGCCGCCTCCCGCTCAGGCCACTGGATGGATGTGCGCAGCTGGAAACTCTGCAACGCCACGTAGCCGCTCAGCCTGCCCGTGCAGTCCACGCCAATCTTTTCGAATCCCAGGCACAGGTTCTGCTCCCAGTCGGACGTTTTCTTGGAAGAGACCCAGAAATCGTTGATGGCGAATGTGGATTTCCCTACGGCCTGGCCGAGGTCCACGCTGACATCGAGGGACGCGATAGATATCGTAGCCGTCCAGGGGAACGCCGCCGTCGCCGCGACTTTCTGATACTGCTGGACGAGATGGCCCTGGGATGCTTCGGTGGCCAACTTGGCCACCGGCGCCGCGGTGCCTTGCCGGAGTTCTTTAGGATACCAGATTTCGCGGAAGAGCAGGAAATCCTGCAGCTGCTTGGCGTTGACTGACATGCTCATGGGGCTAACCTTCAGCAGAGCCGATACGCCACTCGTACCGCTGACGTGCTTGCTGTTCATGAGTGAGAGCACGATGGATTTGATTTCAAAGCTCCCGGTTGATTCCCTCGAGTACACGTGTTGAACCGACGCCTGAAGATTCGTGAAAGTACCTGAAATAGCAAAGAAATTGCCTTGCTCCATGGACCGAATCGTGTTCGCGGTGAAGTAGACATCGTCGTAGTAGGCCGTCGCTGTCACCCTTGCGATTGGTTGGCAGCTGAGGGAAAACTCCTGGCGACAAATGCGAAGGCCCAGGTTCAGCTTCAGGCGCCCCAGGACCGCATTCGGGTCTACCGTGAGGATATTATCCTCGTTGCCTGACCTAGCCTTGGGCGGCGGGGGGGAAGACTGCCGACTTGGCTTCGAGTCGTCGGCCACCACTTCTTTGACGCTGGAGGTCAGCTCCATGATCAGTGGAACGACCGAGGGATATAATGTGTTGCTCGAGGCATCGATCTTGATTTCGCCAAACAAGGTTGGATCCTCCTGACCGTTGTCCCTGTATTCTATCTTCCAGGCAAGACCCGGACTGCGAAGGACCGTGCTGCTCCCAGATTCATCTGGATTAAATTGCCCGTATTTCCCGGGCACAGCCTGGTATGAATTCCTCGAGCGACCACGCACGCCGCTTGTCGGTTTCTTCCCCGAGACGTAGACCACGGCACCCGCAAAGTCGGCATCGACCAGCAGGGATTCGATCCGCTTCGTGCCTAGGATGCTTGGCCTGGGTGGTGGCGACGATTCTCCAGTCGTGTCTTTCGTTGCGCCAACATTGGTAGCCCAGTGAGCAGTTGCTTTTTGAACATTGCTGACGGATAGTCTGATGGACTCGTTCAGGTTGGCGGCTGGGATAATGAAGCCGGACGTCACACGCAAGTCAAGCGACTTCCCGACGGCCTGGAATGCCAGGCGGCGAGTAGTGGCGGCGGACACGTACGCAACATTGAAAACAACCTCGGGAAGCAAGGCCGAGTGAGGGGACCGTATCCTGAGGTCGTGTCCCGGCGGTACCATCTGCAGTTGGAGATCCTCGATCGACAGGCGAGCCGAATTCGATTTACGCGTGCCCAAGCTGATAAGCTTGATAGACAACACCAGGTCTTCCTGACACTCCGACGGGAGCTCCATGCTGTTGCCAACAAACCAGCTGATCTGCGTGTCCCGAATCTCGAATTGATAGGCAATGGACGACAAGAACGAGTCGATGAAATCAGCTGCATCTGCAGAAGCTTCATCGTTGACGGCAATCCGGGGCCGCGACTGTCTGATCTTTCGCAAGTACTCTTGCTCCCGTGAGATGTCCAGATCTTTGATCTTGTCTCCCATGTACCCCGTCACTTCTATGACGGTGGAGACTGTCTCTGGAGAGAGCTGAACGTCCAAGCCATTGCTCGTGAAGTTGAAAGATCGCTCCTCTGTGCCGGCTGGTGTCTGCTTGGTTCTTGCCGACATGAGAGCACCGAGGGTGATGCTGCCGCACGACCTCATAGCACCTTCGCTGCCCTTCTGGATGTCGAAGACAATTTGTCTGAAGTTGAGACACAGCTCTGGCTGCGCAAGACGCGGGCCATCGTGCCCTCTCTGGTTGGCAGCTTGGAAATGTATCCCGTCCAGGCTGAACAGCATGTATGCAGACTGATGCTCTCCCGACTTGAGGGACGTTTTCCCGAAAACCTCAAGACCAGCTAAGGTCAGATGAGCCGTATAGGCCAGCTTTGGTGCCTCGTTAGAGGGTGCATGAACCTGCTCTTCCGGCTCTGCTGGCGGTCCAACAATATCATGTAAGTGATCCTGAATGATATGAGCCTGCTGCTGAATTTCACCGAGAGCATTCGAGATCTGTGGTCTGTTGAGTGCACCGAGTAAGCTATATACCGCCGACGCGTCAAGTTGAATCAACTCAACCGAGGCGAGAACAGTGACTAGATGTTTCGTAGATCCGATTTGACTGGTAATACGACCATTCGTGGGTGGTATCCGCAGGATCGATACACTCTGCTTCCGGCCCTTCGTGTCCACGTGCATCTCGTGGGAGTTTTCCTTGATATCAAAGTCGAAAATGAGACCTTTGCCAAGGTTCGCAGCCACGGCAGCTCTGGCAACCACGCCTGAGATCCTGTAATTGAGCGACTGCAGAAGAGGCAAGCTTATGGTGTACTCGTCCAGGAAAAGGGCAGTATTGAACCTGAGCGAGGAGAGTCGTTGGGCGATACGCGTTTTAGTGCCCCCTGTGGTAGGGGCGGAAGGTAGCTGCTGCTTGAGCTGGTAGAGCTGAGCCAACTCATCTTTGACCAGTACATCAACAACCTCTAGCAACGCAATGGGGTCTTCGTTCATATCAAGGGTCAGCACTTGGCTGCTTGCCGTCGACTTGACGGTATGGCAGGACAACGTCTCGAGCTCGGTGAGCTCATGAGACAAAATAATGCTGGGGCCCTGGAGTTGAAAAGAGCCTAACAAATCAGAGCGGTGATAAAGCCTGGATGTGACTGCATCACAGCTCAGGACAAAATGCAGTGACTTGTTCTTCGGATCAGCCGACTGCGTAAGCAAAGAGGCTTTGAGATTCTGGCCCAGCGTCTTGGCGCCCAAGTTAATTGTATCCAGCTCAATGGATCCTCTTCCCAGTCCCAAGACAAAATGGTAGGCCGGCTGTGGTCTCTTAGGCCTTGTTGTCTCTGGCTTTGGGGCAGATTCAGCCGACTGTGATGGGCGGGCGCCGGCGGTGGTAGACGATTTGTTACTGAGCCGCAAAATATCGGCTGCGAGCTCGCAAAGTTCCCAGTTCAGGTTGATAGCTACTTGTTTGCAGTAGACAGTGACGGTGGTCAGTCCATGCTCGAACTCGGCCCCTTCCTTCGCTGAACCCTTGGGTGAAGATGGTCGCTGGTCGAGGCGAATAGATAGGTCTCCGAAAAGGACTCGGTTCTGTTTGGAGCCTGGATCTAGCATCATCTGAACTTCCTTCAGTCTGATAGCTGCCAGAAGCGGGACGTCAGAGGACTCGTTCTTGGTGGCCCTGCGCTCTGCGCCGAAGACTTCTTTCACTAACGACGAGTTGGCGACATCGTTCAAGTCCCAGCCACGCCACTTCTGGAAGGCAGCAACGGCCTGCTGGCGCCCGTGCGGCATAGCCGGGACAGTGTTCCCCAAGCACGAAACCTTTAGTTGGTCACGCGACGTCTCGGAGAGTGTTGACCATATTTGACGGAGGTGGATGCAGAGCTTCCAGGAATCATAGGTCCGCAGATGATCCGAAACAGAGCGCAAGACGGCGGAAGGACGAGCCAGGAAGGTCGGATCGCTCACATGTTTCCCCTCTCGCAACAATGCCAGAACAAAATATTGCACGAGCCGATCGCGATGCGCAAACGTATGCCCCAGTAGATCTCCCAACTCAGTGGCCACCACGCTTGTTCGGTGAACAAGAGTTGCAAGGTAGTCAACTTTTCCGGATTTGGTACTACCTCGGATTACATCGATTTCCCCGTCGATGTATACGATGTCTTTAGATCCCATCGACAGCATGGCTCTCTGGAGTTCGAGAAGAACTGCTGCCCGGGTTTCACGCGTGGCCGAGGATCGTTCCGAGGCCGAAAATACCGCTGACCCAAATCTGAGCATGAGTGACGTCTTCTTCTGCGTGGATGAGCGCTTTTCTGACGCTTGCAGCTCAGGTACAGACGATGTTGACCGCAGGGCCAGGGAAAGTCGAGACACGGAGGCGTCGTACTGATCTTGTTCATCTTGGGTTAGATGTGAAGCATCCGTTGACAGGTTGAGGAACCGAACAGAGGCGTGTGGAACCCTCAAGAGAATGTCCTGTATCTGGCCCTTCATCCGTGCTCGCTTCTGTTCACCGAATATTACAGACATGGAGCCAATTTGTAAACTGTCTAGTATGTCCTCGGGCTCGCTCGGCTGCAGAGCTGTAATTAAATCAGAAATGGAGCGGACTGAAGACGGCGTCAGACAGGCCTGGAGCCCAGAAGGAAACTCGATAATCGTGCTTGAATACGCGTAGTCCTGGTCAAATGTATTGGGTTCGACATCATCAAGCTCGAAGTTGACATGATCAGGCTCATCCTCGATCCCGTCCTCACCTGACTGAGGCATCCGTGTGCTCGTCACTTTCGTCTGGACACTCTCTAACGGGAAGCAAGGAGCAAAGTACTGGCTTGAGAAGGCCATGAAAGAGTGATATTCGGGGGTGGTTCGATCCCCAAATGGTGGATGAGCGGACGAGTAGCGACTCGCAGAAGCCGAAAAGTCTCGTGATGGCCGTCTCCTGGAGCTAGCTGGGGTGATGGCTCTATTCTGTTGAAACGAGTCTGCCAATTTTTGACATTTGGGCAGAGCTTGACCACCGGATTCGCTGTCACCACTGCGGACGCTGCGGCCACTGCTGGCACTGCTGGCACTGGCGGCGGATAAAGAAAGGAAAGACCTCTTGTCACGCAAACTGCGAGTTCGATTAGATGACACGGTAGATGATCCTCGGAAGCTTGAACGTTCGAACTCCTGCTCCAAGGTGGACGGGTCCGGTATTGGTGGCACTGCTTGTGCCGGTGGATCGACCAGGTCAGGGACCATGTCCTCCACGACGCCGGGAAGCAAAAGAAAGCCCGTCCTGTGTGTCCTTTGATCTTCACGACGAACTAGTTCCTGCTGCAGCTTTCGCTCCCTGAAAAATTGAAATTTCCGCCCAATGATAGCCAGGTGAATGGTGGTGGTGAGCAACGCATTTGCCTCTGCTTCTCGGTGATTCCTTGACCTTTGCTTGACTGCGGCTTCGGAGTCCAGACAAAATATCTCCAGATCAGGGATCTGAATATCCGCGCGCCTCGAGTAATGTGTTCGAGCCCAGTCATTGTATTTCACGTCGATGGCACCTGTTCCCAAGAGAAACGTAGCTTCTTCTACGTGAAACCAGAGTCGCACGGACTGGACCGCCACTCGAAGAAATGTCACATCGTAGACAACAATCGCCGAGTATGGCACTAGAGCATTCTCGTCGTCATCAAACTGAACCCCGAAGGCGCGCCCGGCCTTCGCTAGGGAGGTCAGGAAGTCAGCGGTACACTCCCCTGTGACGGCGCCGACTGATATGTCCCAGTTGCACATGTACGTAGGCTCGACTGGGGGTAGTCCGAAGAGACGACTGCCGTACACATTCAGTCCGTCGACGAAGACCTGTGTGCTCGTAGCGGCACTTCCCGGCGTCTCTTGGCCGGCGCCTTCCAGACCCAGCGAGATGCTCAATGGACTGACCGACAAATCTAAGTCCATATAATAATTGGTCAATCGCAGGTCCGCTGTTAGGCTGGCAGTCTCTATCTGGAGGGTCCGCCGGGAATAATAGAGGTTCGTCGGCAACAAGACCCTGGGGTCGTCTACCCGTACATTCAAAACAACGTCCAGGTCGTTAGATTTCTTTGGCGGAGGCCGGTTGGCATGTTCGGAACTGGGATCATGTTCTTTCAATTGCAGCAGCTCCTGGTACTCGTCCAACGTTTTGAAGTGTATGTCGTCGCCAAAGTAATTGTCCTTGAGCTTGAGAAAATACCGGATGATGAAGCCGTGCAACGTCGCCGTGGGCGACTGGCCGGAGACATTCAAAATGAGCGTATCCGTGTTCGCTGGAGAGGTCGTCGCATTGTAGTTGTAACTCCCCTCGACCACGAGGTTTTCACCATGGCCAATCTCCTTTGACGACGATAAGAACGACGATTGCGTGTTCCATGGCGGCAGGTGCAACGAGAGCGCAAAGGACTCGGCTTTGCATTCGAAGGGAATGGAGGTTTTGTGCGGCCGGTATTTGTCTATAGGAATACAAACGCTCGATACAAGACTCGGACTGGTCACCGCCAGATATGTGTTCTCGTCGAAATCGGTAGGTTTGTTTATGATGTTGCCGTCGTTCACGTTGAGATACAGATTGAGATTTCGCAGTTCGAGATTCAGATGATAGCGGAACGGGGTGAACACCAGGTAATCAGCGGGCGGGCCGGTGGCCCAGTCATCGACTAGGTCGATCAGCAGGAAAATATGATCTCTCAGTAGAAATAGCTTCATGTCATCCGCAGTCACATTGAAAAACCATGTTCTCAGGCCGTTCCACTTCAGCGGCGTGGAGAGGTCGCAGATGATTCTCTGCGCTCCAGAGTTCCACAGCAACTCGTGATTGACACTGCTTGAGAGCTCGGTGCTGGGTAGGTCCAGATCCAGGGCAGTGGTATAGCCATGAGCCCCAGCTGCCGTGTCCATGGAATACGAGACGGTAGCATTCGCTGCGATCTTGAAGTCCAGCCAGCCAGCTGGGCGAAGAGGGGTAGCATCCCCTTTACCCCGTTTCTGGGCCCTAGCCCTTTGCTTCCGTGTCTGTTGGGGTCGATCTGCATTGGTCGCGGGCTCTTTACCCTTCCATTTCCAGTTCTTCGAGCCCTCCCGAACTGGAATCCTGAGCACGACGTCCTCTTCCAGTTCAACGTACAGTTTGAACTGTGTCGAAACCCTCTGTGCTCCAAGGGGGAGGATTTTCGCCGGTAAGGAACCTTTAGCGAGGCCCGGGAAAAACACGCGTTGTAGATCGGCTCTTTGCCGGTCTGCCCAGGGTCCGTAGTTGGCCGTGCCTCCTTTGAGAACCAAGTTCATACCCCAGCCGGGGGGGTCCCCTCGGTTGACATGACGAGGAGGGTGCAGGTCTCTCGGGCGTCCATTCGTGTGCTCAGCAGTCACCTTACCAGGTACATCCCAATACACGGTCAATGTGGCGGCAGGACTGTCGATAAGGGTTGTCACCGCAGCATACTCGGCATTATCCCATACAGTTTTCGTATCTTGATCACTATCGTCCAAGTACCGAGCTAGCCCTTGCCACTGACCGTGGGCCGGGACATGAAGCCCTGCTGTTCCATTTGGAGTCCCGGGGTCGGCGAAGGATTCGACAGATTTCCGCCAGGAGGGCACCAAGTTACGGAGGCGACCCAAGACCCGACGCCGGTGACGACGAAAGAATCCACCTTTAGGGGGGGGTCTGTTGACGTGTTCTGCATGCCTTTCCTTGGTAGCCCTTGAGACTTGATCTTCCTTGTAGTCCTCGTTGTCTTTCATCTCCACGATTGGATGTTCAAAGTCGATCTTGAAGGTCTGTCTGTACGGATCAGGCGCGGCTGCGTTGGTTGCGTTCACCTCTCCGGAGATATGGTTGGCCTTGATGACTAGGATCCCTTTCGTATTCTCGTTTCCCATGACGAGCGCCGCTGTCTGACAGGTGACCTGTACCGGGAACATTTGTAACATGGCCGGTAAGCCAGCACCGGGCTTGCCGCGTTCCTGATCATAGTCCCCAGCGTCAGACGTGGAGCTCGCATTGCTTATTGATGACCTCTGCGGTGCGTTGTTTGGAAGTTCAGGGTGGGAGACTATTGAGGCCGCAGACGATTCTTGTTGAGCGGCCGGTGGCTGAAATGAGGAGGATGGCCTTGCGGATTTTTCGGTCGCGTTTTGTTCCCGTCTCCGCAGACCGCTCGACGAGTCTTCGCTTGATCTCTCAGACACTGGAATTTGATCGCAATATTCTTCTTTGAGGCCAGCCAGGATGCTATCGTATACGGGGCTCCTGTTGTAGACAAACCACTCGAGGCCGGCAAGGGTCACAGTAATGCGACACGGCAATTCGGGTTTGCCAGAGCTCTCGGTTGTAGTGGCGCTTTCTTCCGGCGTCTTTTGTCCCGTCCGAGATGGGTCGATGCCAACATCTCGAACGCGGCGCAACCAGTAGCGCCAGGTAATGTAGCCATGCTGCACATGAAACGTTTCGTTGTTGCCATGATATCTTAGACCAGTGAAAAATATTCGGCCTCCGAGAAGTGAAACCTGTAGCGCCTCAATGTCGACGTAAATCCGATACCGATGCCATGACCACGTCCGTATTGCAAGCGACACCAAAGAGCCGAATACTCGATTAAGGTAGAGCAGGAAGAATGTCACTCTAAGAGGGTAGAAACGGTGTCAGAAGCCGTGAATGCCACAAAAGCCGTTGGGGCAAACTTACAGAAAGGAGCAGACAATGAGGTAGGCCAGAAAGACACTGCAGTAATGAAACGGTTAGCATCGATTTTGATAAACAGGGCCAGCTGTTTGAGTGCCAGCCACTAGTCTTACCCATTAAACTGCGGCGTCTCTGACGGGGATGTGTCAAATTCGTCCGAGTCCGACGACATTGTCGTCAAGTAGAAAGCGGTTCGCTTGTAAAGGCTTCAAGAGCAGGTCGCGAGCCACCTTCGCTATCTTCGCGGCGAGAGCCTGGTCGGGACGCCTGCCATTGCTTGGATAACTGGAAAGGTTCTCGGGTGAATACTCCGACGGTCGTTTTCAACGTCCAATAGCGCTTATAATTCAAGAGCCGGTCGAATTGCTGGCATTCTGAGCAATTACTAGCTCGATGCTGGGCGTCGTCCAGGTCGTCCTCTCCAACAGTGGAATGACGTTTCAGGGGTTACACGAACTTTCGACAGCTCGTCACCTAAACGGAAGGCGGTGACTTGCAGCTTGCGAAGGCCGATTTAAAGAATATGAGCGATAAGATAAGATGAAGTACCTTACAAAGGTAAGGTACCTAGGTTAGGTATGGGGAAGGATAAGGTACCTAAGTACTCCAAGACAATGTGGTACGTAGCGTGGCCTGCTGAGATAAGCGTTCGGGTCGATCCGACTTACTGGTCACGGGTTGCTTGTGGGAACCGAACCCAAGGGAGCCTACCAAGCAACCAAACACGCCGACGGTTTTCTGTGGTTATACAAAACGCATCATAGAGCTTTTCTCTGGTCCCTTTCCAATATAAGGGTCTCCACCGTCATCCCCACTCCATACTGCCTTCCCCCAGAGCTATCGTGAAGCTCAAAATCGATCCAGGCGGAGCGATGAGCTCAAGCGAGTTGTAAAATACGATATACGGCATTCGTTGACGTGCCACAACTCGTCAAAATGGCGGGGGGCGGCACTGGTCAGAAGCTCACCTATGCGACCACGATAGTGGCTGGCGTTGCTGCCTTGATGGCAACGCTTCTATCTATGGTGTATGTTCCGTTTCCGCGCTCGTCTTGACTTTCGACTACCGGCTTCAAGCTAACGCATCTCCTCAAGGTCTATATTTCTACAGACGTACGTCCTTCGTCTGTCTCCACGACTAGAAATCGAACGCGCCTGTTAACGAAGGCACAGAAAAAACTACCGAAAGCCACTCCTCCAGCGTTATGTCGTTAGAATATTGCTTATGTAGGTCCCGACGCTTTGACTAGGACTCTGCTGTTGCTGACCGTCGGAAGGGTTCCCATATACTCGGTTACATCTTGGACCAGCATGGTTTCATTGACGACGGCCCAGTTCCTCGCCCCAATCCGTGACATCTACGAGGTATTGCTTAGTCGCCCAAGCTCCGTTGTTTCCCAACCCTTGATTCGCTTGCCTTCTTACCAGCTTCCCTAGGCCTTCACCATCTATACATTTTTCCAACTCCTCATCAACTACCTCGGCGGCGAACGATCTCTCATTATCATGACACACGGACGCGAACCGGTCAGCCACCTTTGGCCCATGAATCATGTATTTCCACGAGTTGATATATCCGATCCGCCCACATTTCTAGCCGTCAAGCGTGGCATACTCCAGTATGCCTGGCTAAAGCCTATCCTCGGTCTTGCCGCCTTCATCATGAAAGCGACAGGCACTTACCAGGAAGGCTACATCGGGCTGAGCTCGGGCTACTTCTGGAGTGGTCTGATCTACAACGTCAGCGTTACCATGAGCTTGTATTCGCTCGGGTTATTCTGGGTTTGCATGCATGATGACCTCCTCCCGTTTCGACCTGTGCCCAAGTTTCTTTGCATCAAACTCATCCTTTTCGCTTCGTATTGGCAAGGTTTCCTCCTATCAATCTTAGTATGGCTGGGAGCAATCCCGGATAACGTCCAGGGATACACGCCGGACAATCTTGCGGCTGCAATCCAGGATGCGCTGATTTGCGTCGAGATGCCCGTTTTCGCCGTCGCCCATTGGTACGCCTTCTCTTGGCACGACTTCGCCAACCAAAACGTACAAGCCGCCAGAATGCCTGTCAAGTTCGCATTCCGCGATGCTTTCGGCATTCGGGATCTTATCGAGGATACAAAGGAGACTTTCAAGGGTGACAAGTATAAGTACCGCGTCTTCGACTCGGGCGACAAGGTCATGCCGCATGAAGAATCCCGTGCCCGGCTAGGGCGATTGAAAGAGGGGATGAGATACAAGAGAGGTGGGAAGGCGAAGTATTGGATCCCAACCCCTGGTCAGGTTGACCGTCAGCTCAACCGTGACTTGAACGAACGCGATCCTCTCCTTGCAGGTTCTGGCGGTGAGCCTAGCGGGCAGTACAATTTCGCCAACGGCACAATGTCCGATCCCAACAGCGGGCTAGGTCTAGACCCGGAAGATGATGCTCTGTACGATAAGGCTCGAGAGTTGGAATACGGTGATTGGAATGTGAGTCTCTTCCGTTCTTCAAGAGGGCAAGTCCATGGTCGTGATAACTGACTTGGTCACAGTATCCCGTCATTACCGCGCATGAACCTCTAAGAGAGCGCTTTATGTCCAACTCGAGCGGGAGCTACAGATATCAGTCGTTGCCGTCACCGTTGCCATCAGACTCAGCATCAGTATCGCCATCGATAGCGTCACAATCGTCGTCGCGGCCCCAGCAAACCCGCAAACCCAGCCATGCTGATCGACCTCAGGAGCCGGCCGTTGTTACCAGCAAACCGAAAAAAAAGCAAAAGCAGAAACAAAAACAGCACCAGCACCAGGCGGACACCATAGAAACGCCCACACAACCAGATCTAAGTCCAGGCCCCGCGGTTTCTGCAGCATCTCCGCCTAAACCCATCGCAACGCCTCCCGAAACGCAGGATCACCATGTTGCAGAGCGATCGCAGCCAGGACCTTCACCGGAAGCAGAGCCGTTTCCGGACCATGAGCCGTCTCCGTGGGCTACTCCTGGCAGTGAACATGAGGGCTCCGATCCGCGGTTTCGTATAGGGGACGATGATGAGTTCCGCAACGTCTGGGACGGCGGGGACCGACCCTAGTGATGGTGGCGTCTAACGTTTTCTTTGCGCGGCAATGGTCCTGCTGTGATTTGATACCCCTGGAATCTCGCATCACACTGGCTAGGTATCGTCATAAAGCCGGACTAGCATGGCGAGACGGCGTTTTGGTTCCACTCTTCAAGTTTCCGGCTGTCCAATATGAGGTCTATTCATCTAATATCATGTTATCATCTGTCCCCTTTCCAAATGAGCCTATCTCATTGACATTTCAACGCCGCCTCATCAGTCATTTCAGGTTGCTTAAGTCATCGCGGTGTACTTCTAGGAGTCCTGCATCCTTCTCGAGATCCCATGAGGCGTAGCTGGTGCGTGTTATGTAAGGGACACAACTGCCACAATCACGTGATCAGGGCCATCGGACAAACCAGCTACTGTTCGGATCAATTTTGACCCAATCATTTCCGAGGCATTCTCCCCGCCGGATTAACTTCACACAACTTTTCCCAATTCGGGGGGCGGTGTACTCAATTTTGTCGGTGAACAAAGGCAGAACTCGATAATGGGAAGGAAGGCATGCCTGCCCTCGCCCACACACCGAACCCAGTAAACTACCTTAAGGTACTTCGACCCTCGGCCGGGTCTTAATCTCGTTGAGGCGTCTCTCAATCGACGCCTCCCTCGTGCGTCGAATTATTCGATACCAGTACGAGGGGCACCCAAGCACCCAGAGGCCGTCTAGAGACCGGCAGTCGGCACGCCTCGTCTTATTATTGAAGACTTGGTGATCCGGCAGAATGGGCCGCAAGCCGAATCCCATCATTAGCGAATACTTCACGCGGGGCCCCAAGCTCAGCGACTCGAGCAACCGTTATCCGCATACCTGTAAGCTCTGCGGCGAGAACTTCCCCAAGGGACGCGGAGAAGTTCTTCACAGACATATCACCGAGAAGTGCCCCGCCATCAGTCCGGAAGACCGCATCAATGCTGCGCTGGGCTTCGCCGGTCTGCATTCAGGACACTGTGCCGGAGCCAACATGGTTGCGCCTCCTCAGCACACCACTATCGATTTGAGCACCAACCAGCTTCACGACTCTGTCGCTCCTCATATTGTGGCTTCAGAAGCCCCTGAAACTTGGTCGGCCCTTCGCACCTTGGCCGAAGCTTCCCGCCAAGTTGGAGCAAATGAGCTTTCTCATCCCAAGCCCGAAGACATCCCTGACTCTCATGGAGATCACCGTCGGCATCATACAGATCAAGATGTCCTTCATCTCCAAGAGCAGTTCACTCTAGAAAATCCGCCCCCTACTTACGATGCGACTGCCCATCGTGACGGAAAAGGTGAGCTCCCTGATAAGAAAGAGTCTCTTGAGTATATTCCCTGTCTGCGTGTTAAGACTGCAACTCTTTTGTCTTCCCTTCATTCTTGTTGGCCCTTCTCTCTATGATATAACTCGTGACTTGTTGCTAATGACATCGGCCAGACGATGAGTCTAACCCGTTGCATTTCCTCACTACCGAGGAGAAGCTGGAGCATCTCAAAACTGCAACTCAGCACCCTGCTGTCTCTTCTGAGGACTCTGCCGGACTCGCAGCCGCCGCTGCTGCTAGGCTCAACCACTCCCTTTTGTTGGACAACATCTACGAACAGGCCAGCCACGAAACAAACTCTGCCAGCCCAGTGTCCGAACACGTCCGAGACCATAACACCCCGCCGGTTCCCCAAGCGAACCTGCAACCAATCCATCAATCGTCCCTTTCGCCTAGCCAACAGCCAGGCCACCTTTCTCCTAGACCGCAATTGCAACATCCTTGGGGTCAGATGTCCTACGTGGCTCCTCAGCCAGCGAACGGAGGCCACGTCCCTGTTACTCTGTCGGCTCCCATTCGGGGAGGTACTAGGATGTCAATTGGTAATGGCACCCGGAGTGAGCACAAGCGGAAGGCATACACCCCTAGTCGCCGCAAGGAAGTCCAAGCCGCCCGTAAAAAGGGTGCTTGTATCCGCTGCCGGATTCTGAGGAAGGTCTGTGGCCTTAATGACCCTTGTGACCAATGCCGCAAGATCCAAGGCCCTCGTCACTGGACCTACCCCTGTGTTCGAACCCACCTAAACCAGGTCTTGAGTCTCTACTCGGCTGGCCTCATAGTCGTCTTGGCCCAAAACCGGGTCAACCAGGCCCGCAACGCATACCAGCTGATGCAAATCGGAACCTCGCTGCGAGTGTCACTCTGGAGTGATAGCATCCCGATGAGTCTTTCAGCCCTGGTTACCGCCAGTCCTATGCCCAATAAAACAGGAGATGCCGAACCGTCGACCGATGATAAGAATGGGGACAGCCAAAATTCTAGCGCACCGTCTTACCAAATTGTCATGATCGACCAGGACAAGGAGGATCTTCCCGCTCGCATGGAGACCTATCTGAAGGATGTGCTGCCTATACTGATTGAGAGAGAGCCGTCCCATTTCATGCGGGTTGTCCTTAGCTTCGCGCAGAAGGTCGAAAACTATACCGGAGACCTAGTGAAACGTGCCATCGAGCTATGGGGGCTTGTCGAGATCCTCGATCGTGAACGAAGCTGGTGCATTGTCGAAGAGCGCGACGGGCGCGTCGTATCCCGGGGCCCTGAAGACGGCGACGCTGGCATTGATCAAGAGACTTATTCACTCATGACGTGGCAGCTCTCTGCTGCTGCAGAGCGCAAGGCGAATGCCGTTTCGCATAAGCTCATCAGCGAACTCCAGCGTACCCTAGAGAACGGCAAAATCGCGCTCCACTTCGACGTGTACCTCGCCATTCTAATCCTACTCCACTGTCTGGAGAAGACAACCTGGACTATCAAGGTATGGGAGATGGAAGATTTCCGGCAGCGGTGGCCGCTGGAGCGACCGCCCCATACTTTTACCAATCAAGGCCACGAGATAGCGGACCTGCTGAAGATGCTCCTGACTCTCCGGAAGGTCCATCCGAAAACGGCTCGGGCTCCGGATGGCCAACTCGTAGTCTCCGAGACTCGTGATCCTGTAATTACCAATCTTTTTGAAGCCCTCAACCTTCGGTGTAAGTCTCAATATTTTTGCCCCCCCCCCCCCCCCCCCCCCCCCCCCCCCCCCCCCCCCCCCCCCCCTTTAGGACCCAGGCCTGGGAGACTGGCATGCTAATGACTGATGCAGTCGATGAGGTTGTCGATAGGTTGGAGCATTGCGCCTTCAGCCCCGAGAGCTCCCGTTCTCTTGAGTTTCACTTCTCCGGCCTTGTGCTGCTACCCCAGCGGGAACCAGAATCCTCCAGCCAGCCGGCCACCTTCTCGAGCCCGGGTGCCACAACTCCGCAGCAGAACGGCTCAGTTCACCCCTGAGTTCCAACTCGTCCACAATACTGGCTAGGCTTTCATTGCCCGTCTTCGAGCAGTCTGTCTCAAGAGAAAGGGCACGGCAGACAGTTTGCGGCCAACCAGGAACAGCCCTGGATTTTACGAGAATTGCCCATTGAAATGGGTTATAATATGCTTATGACTGTACGGACGATACCACATCACGATGTACGATTGACGACAGAACAAAACAAACAAAAAAGGCAAAAGGGATTGGCGTTTCTAAGGCTATTTTTTGGGACTTCACACCGTATAGGAGGCGAAAGGACACCACAAAACCAACATTTGTCGCTATTAGACGGAACACTTTATGTCGGACTCCAAATGTTTCGGCGTTGGTGAGCCATAGACCACAAAAAAATAAGGCTCTTCATTGAGCATAGTTGCTATACTGTCACATGTTACCAGGTCCACACAAGCGAAAGGAAGCGTAGCTAGGTAGTCGAATTTTGATTTAAAACGAGATCGCTACACGAACATCACCTCCCAGGGAGAGTTCAGAGGCCATAATGAACATTTAATGACATAAAGGTCTGAGTGCGGTGAGAACTTGTTCGTCTGGCATCGCAGAATATCTCCATTGCATGGGGGGCACCTAGAACTTGATCTCACCCCACCCCACCCCAGAGACCCCAAGTCAGAGCATCTACGGCCGAGTCCAAGGCGAGCTCTACCCCTTGCCAGCACTCGACGTAGACCCTCCGGTGTCTCTCCTCTCGGGACCGGCACCAGGCGGTCTTTTAGGTTTCTTAAAGCAGGTAAACTCGTTCTTACTGGCATCGCGGAGACGCTTAAGCACGGCGCGCATTTCCGGGAGCTCAGCCTGGAGACGGGCACGCGCATCGTTGTCCGTACGCGAATCGAGTTCCTGATAAATCTCCGCCTGGAGCTGGGCGGCGCGTTCCGTGGTATACTGGCTCAGCGTCTGGGCGATGAACTCGACGTCGAGAGTGGCCTGCAGGAGCCCGCCGAGGTCGTAGCGGTCGTGGACGCGAAAGGCCTCGAGCAGCTCGCGCGACAGCTGCTCGAGCAGGTAGGAGAGGACTTGCGCGGTGAGGGAGGGCGCGGTGGTGTATACCTGCGAGTGGACCAGGACGAGGCTCAGGAGCGCTTCGCAGACGTAGGGTTTGGCCTGGCGCGGCTTCTCGCCGGGTGGAGGGGCCCAGTCCGCGGCCGAGATGCCGGCGCGCAGGAGGCGGCGGAGGTTGTCGATGTAAGGTCGTGTGTACGTCTGGAATAGGCGCGCATCGATTTGTCCTAGCACGTCGCGGATGGTCTTCGACTCGTCCGTCAACTTGACGGAGAAGGCGTTCTCGAACTGGGTGTTGAGATTCGGCACGACTTGAGCGCGGAGGGCTTGCAAGTTGCTGAGGGTGACGAGCATGCGGACATTCTATCGAAACGGTGAGTTACATTTGTTCCGTTGTATGACAGGGGACAGCAGATATTTACCCTATCCCGCGCATCGAGAGCACCCAACCCTCTGCTTGCCTGAGCGGGGGACTTCGCGATCGATCCGTCGGCATCCGTGGTCCATTCGTCGTCGGCCTTCTTAACAGATCGTTCGGCATTTTCCACCATGCCACTGAGCGCCTTATAAAGAGTCGATACGTATTGACTCCTGACCATCTGGAGCAGTTTAGACGGTGGCGGCAGAACAATGTCTTCGGCGCCTGGCTTGGCCATGGCATCCGAGACGTACAGAATCTTCTGCATCCCCGACAACAGAGCGCCTTCAAAGGCTGCAAACGTCGATGGCATCCGTGTCACATCGCCCAGGTCGGCCGATCGGTACCAGTCCTCCACGTACTTGATGTTCTCGGCATCCTTGTTCCAAGCCGCACAGACGGCGGTAACGCACCTCTCTCGCGCGGCCCCAACAAGCGCCTTGAGCCTCTCCAGTGTTCCGCCGTCGGCTGCGTGCTTGACGGGAGTGATGCTCGCCAGATCCGAGGCCCCAACACCTACAATGGTCAGCATCTTCGATAAGTAGTGAATCCCACTGACCGAATTGGACCAGGGGGGCCAGAAGGCGAGTTTCTCCCAGGCTTCCCCTCGCCTTGCGGACGGTGGCGGGGCGGTGTTGGCATCGAGGTTGAAGCGCGGATCTCTCGGGACGGAAGGCGTAAGAGCCGATTTTGGAGTGTTCGGTGTCGTGGGCAGGGGGGAGTAGAGCATAGATATGTCCTCCGGCGGCAAGCCGGCGAAGAAGACGTACACGGCATCCCGCAGCAGGTCCACCAGTTCGACCACACCTTTCTGCAAATCGACAACGGCCTGTTCTGAAAGCTGGTGATGGCGGCGGGATTCGCCATTGTAGCCGACAGGCAAGGTCGCCTGCGTCCCGCCCTCAATGAAGCCTTGCACAATATTCCAAAAGTCGACTACCTCGCCCAGTATTCCCGAAGCGGAAAACAAGGTCGTCAAGAACGTCACCATCTTCTCCCAGAGTTCAAGTATTTCGGCCGTGTCGACGGATGACGTCTGGTTGCTTTCCACGGCCTGACGGGCCACCGCCTTCAGATGGGAAGCAATCAAATGAGAGGCGGGTTTGTCGCCATTGGCAAGGCGGCGCCGCAGGACCTCAATCTCAACCTTGGAGCGGTTCGCTGTGGACTGTATCTTGCCCTTGAGGTGATCATAGCGGCTCACGAGCCAGAGCCAGATGGGATTGTCATCGACGCCCAGTTCGAGCAACAGACTAATGAGTTCCACGTGCTGATCCTGAGGTTGTCCGGCAACCATCCCGTCGGCTCTCGAAGAGCTGTGTAATGAGACGAGTTTCCGGAAACTGTCTCGCTTGAACTGTTGAATCTGTTCTTCGACATCGTGCCACATGCGCGCGGTCAGGAGAATCTGGTACAATTGGGCGTCGTTGGCAGCTCCGGCGCCAATAGTCTCGGCTAGCCTCCTCGCCTCGGTGGACAACCTTCGGGCCCGGTTATACTCCTCCACCAAGCTCTCGTAGTCCCGCCGCCGGACGCTGTCCGATATGGCAGGGCTTAGCTCCACGATTTCTTTGAACTCGTCCAGATAGGTGGCCACGATCTTGAGGTGCTCTTCCTTGTCACGTCCGCCCAAGGCAGGTCCCCAGACGTCCTCTGCCTTTGCGGAGACGTCAAGAAGAGGGGCTTTGATGCCCATCACACCGTACTCGCTCTCCTTGACGATGGCATTTTTCTTTCGGTTGTCGACTGGTGGCGGGCCTACGGACGCACCGCCACCACTCCGGAAGCTACTCCTGCTGGCATGACGGGAGTGCCTTGGCTGTTGTCGGGGCTGCGAAGGTTCGGCACCACGGTACTTCATTTCCCTATAGACGTTATCTATGGTGGCTTTGGCCTTGACAAACCGCTCGAAGTTGGTTTCCACCAGTGCTTTGAGCGATGCCGACTTCTGATCGATGGACTGCGACAGGACTTCGAGGCCGGCCAACAGGCTCTGGGTGTCTGCAGTGGCATGCATTTGTGAGAGGAAAAGGGCGGGGGAGAAGGTCGTCGAAGAAAGCAGGAAGCGGTTCCCTGTAAGAAAGAGAAAAATGTCAGCTGCCAGAGCGGCAAAGAGAGCTTGACGGTACTCCGTACAGCTCGAGCTCGAGCAATGATCATCGGGGCATGGACATACGAAGTCGAGGGTCATCTTGTACTGGCACGCCCAGTTGGCGCAATGTGCGTACAACACTGTCGGTGGTGCCCAGAGGGTCCGGTTCGTCCCTCTGGACGATGTTTCCAACACCTCCTTTTTCCGATTGAGAGCCAGGAATGGTGCTTCTTCGGTCGCTCACAGCTCTCTCGAGCGCCTCGTATCTCGACCTGCGTCGGTTGAGTTTGGCATTGCTCTCGTCTTCTCCGTCGCCGTCGGAGCCATCACTTTTATTATCCTTCTCGGTAGGCCACTCGCTCGGATATGAAGTGGGAAGCCCGTAAAAGTCGAGAACCGTCCTCTCGTAATCCGCCATGTTGCTGGTAGCCCTCTCAGGAGCACAGGTGCTGGTTCATACTCCTTGCAACAAGAGAGGGAATGACTCCAGAGGCGAGTTCGAGTACTAGTCGGGAGTACTGTGTGGTTTGCTATGAAGCAAGAGGCATCGGCATCGTATCCAGAGGTGAATGAGCGTTACAACTCTATAACTGCGTTTGCGTAAGGTATCCAGAACACGCGGGGGGCGTGTCGTGTAGTGGGGTTTCTTGTGCTTCGTAAGGTAGGTAGGACAAGGAGAGGACCTTGGGACGGAAGGGGTTCGGAGTACGAAGTACGTACCTACAGACGAAACAACATCGGTTGGAAGTGGATTTCACCGAAGAGACCCACTTAGCCCACTTAGATTCCATTGGTCACTCACCTAGACATCGGTTTTGCGCTACTCCTGCACCTTACTTAGGTAAGGTAGTCAAGCCATTTCGGTCGCACGGGGGTTTGCCCGTTTTGCGCCACATGACGCGGTGGGTCACTTGTTACTCCGTTAGTTGATGCTCGGATTTCGTCGCTGTTTGGGCCGATCGGCTCGGCCTTTAAACCAAAGCTGTCGGGTTTTCCAATCTTTTTTACATCTGATTTTCAGGTTTTCTGTCAAGTCGCCCTCGAATACTGACTGCATCATAATACAGTCTGTTTGTTTCTTCGGGATCGTTTTACGCAGCAGCTAGGGAATTACTCAACTTTTCCCTTTTTATTTCCTCCCCCGAAAATCCTCATAATGCTGGCCGCTCGTACTTTTGTTGCTCCCATTGGGAGGCAATCCTATCGCATTGCCCCTCGCGCTGCCGGCACTTTGTCCTTTCATGTGAGTGCGCCCTATTGTGCCCCAAGAGGATTATTTGCGCGAAGCTTTCCTAACCCTCAATTCGCAGAACCAGAGGTTCTTTGCCTCCCAGAGCGACCGTGTTGCCAAGTTCAATGGTGTCAAGGACTCGAATGTACGGGCGCATCCTCCCACCCTTCCTAACCTTGCTGTTGAATCATGGCCGAGGAGGGGGGGAAAACAAAACATTCACTCGATCGCCATGACGTTCAACATGCGGTAGGAACCTATACAAAGGGATGCGAGGCTGATAATATAGTAGGGCAACTACGCCGTCAGTTTGATTGAGGGCGATGGTATTGGCCCTGAGATCTCTCAGGCCGTCAAGGACATCTTCTCCGCTGCCCAGGTTCGTCGTCTTTTGGTCCCCATGGCAGAACCATCGACACAAACTAACAGTCCGTGAAACCAGGCCCCGATTACCTGGGAACCCGTCGATGTCACCCCAATCCTCAAGGACGGCAAGACTGCCATCCCTGATGCCGCGATCGACAGCATCATGAAGAACAAGATTGCCCTCAAGGGTCCTCTTGCTGTATGTATTTTTCCTGCCGTGGTGAAAGTCGTCAGTCTCAAGTTCCGGGCCCTCACACAGATTCATTCTAGACACCTATTGGCAAGGGCCACGTCTCCCTTAACCTCACCCTCCGCCGGACATTCAACCTCTTCGCCAACCTTCGCCCCTGCCGATCCGTCGCCGGTTACAAAACCCCCTACGACAACGTCGACACCGTCTTGATTCGCGAGAACACCGAGGGCGAATACTCCGGCATCGAGCACGTCGTCGTCGACGGCGTCGTGCAGAGCATCAAGCTCATCACCCGCGAGGCCAGCGAGCGCGTCCTCCGCTTCGCCTTCCAGCACGCCCAGGCCATCGGCCGCAAGAAGGTCCGCGTCGTCCACAAGGCCACCATCATGAAGATGTCCGACGGCCTCTTCCTGAACGTCGGCCGCGAGGTTGCCAAGGACTTCCCCGACATCGAGTTCGACGCCGAGCTGCTCGACAACTCCTGCCTCAAGATGGTCACCGACCCCGTCCCCTACAACGACAAGGTCCTCGTCATGCCCAACCTGTACGGCGACATCCTGTCCGACATGTGCGCCGGTCTCATCGGCGGTCTCGGCCTCACCCCTTCCGGCAACATTGGCGACGAGTGCTCCATCTTCGAGGCCGTCCACGGCTCGGCTCCCGACATTGCCGGCAAGGGCCTGGCGAACCCCACCGCCCTGCTGCTCAGCTCCATGATGATGCTGAGGCACATGGAGCTGAACCAGTACGCCGACAAGATCGAGAAGGCCACTTTCGACACCCTTGCTGAGGGCAAGGCCCTCACTGGTGACCTCGGCGGCAAGGCCAAGACCAACGAGTACGCCGCCGCCATCATTTCCAGGCTGTAAAGTGGAGTTTTCGGCCAGGAGACCGGGATAGGAACGACATTAGATACCTCCTTTACGAGGCCCATCACTGAGACCTACAGAGTATCAACTGTAGATTGTGTACCACGAATACCTCTTTCCTTTTTTTTCCTTTTTTTTTTTTTTGTTTGTTGGGAACGTTGCTCATGAAGGGGAAGGGCTTGAAGGGGCCCGCGATTCTATAAAGGGCGCCATATGCGCCATATTTGTCCTCTGCGTCGAGCTATCTACACGATGGAAACTCTTATTCGATGGACAGAAGAGATCCGCTGCTCCGGGTGTACGCCACCAGACGGACCTAGCACACTGGGTCACTCAGCGTGCACACAGGAGTTATCCGGGTTTCATCATTGCGCGAGGAATCTAGGGACCTGTTAGCAGTGGAAACCAGCATGGCTGGTCGGGGGTTGACATGCTAGATAGTCAATCGACTGAAGTAACGAAATCCTACGAGCGACTCTGGCATCACACGGATAAGAGCTGGTGGATGTCCTGCAACAATCAGAAACCGGCGTCAATCCCTTCTCTTGAAGCGTTTTGCAGGCCCAGTTATGAGAACCCGGGTTAATGTGTGACGAATAGTGTCTGCACCGAAGTTCAACCTGAGATGCAGTTGTAGAATGTGGATTGTGTAAAGGTAATGGTAAATCAATATTCAGACAGGTAGCGGCCGTTGTACGGGGCATACGAAGCAATATTTTGCCAGTAACCCAGTTAAGTCTCGTGAAAGTCCCCGAAGTCTCTCACTACTCGTGCGAATATAATGGGTGTGAGAATCACAGAAGACGCGGCGAGGGGGGGTTCTCTGCGAGGCTAGCAGGGCCTTCCACGAGCCTCGTATGGCACAGCATGTCAGGTTTCGTCCAGATCCCTCGGATTCCTAGATAAAGCCCTCGAAACATGGTGGTCGGCCCCAACCATCTTTCTGATACGACACTTTTATCCGTACTTTCTCCACGGGCTGTTAACGCGAACTTTGGCGTCTTTTTTCTAGTGCGTTCTAGCGCCCATCGTCCCGATCCGAGGCCCCATGGATCCCTCGTGGGGCCCGCCTGACTTCCTGTTGGACGAAGCAATGAGGCCTGGCAGGTAGAATCTTAGTTCGTGATGTTAGTTCCTTTCCACTTCCAATCAAACAATGGTGGCTGAACGAACGCAGTAGGTTTCTGGCCTTCAAGCTTTGGGGGCTGGTTATTTCCCACCCCTCATCTATCAGAACACGTCGCAAGACGTTTCTCGGATTCTCCGAAGACACCGCTGGGCGATGGCGGTGGGGTGTGTGGGTTGAGAATACGGGGCAAGGCGAAGGAGCCTCCTCAAGCGTATCCTCGGGTGCCCAGAGGAGGGATTCGAGTTCACGCTTGACAGACTTCGTTTTGTGACCAGCCACAGCATCGTGACGTCTTGGCCTCAACCTAGGAGAGCGTGTATGTATATAGATCAGGCCGTCCTTTTGTTGTTTTCCATGATCCTCGCTCTCATTTTACCATGTGTATGACTTCTATTCACCACAGCACGTTTTACCCGCCCGATCAAACCCTTGCTTTCCACACAATAGGATATCATGGCGACCAAGGGGAAGCTGATAACCGCTGCGGAAGCCGGTATTCCCTTCACTATAACGGCAAATGGTGTCAAGTACGAATTTCTCGTCCAGACCCGAGCCGCATAGTATGTCCGTCCCTCACTGGTATTCTGCTGATACGACAAGGGAGGGATCATGAAAGAATAAAAAGAATAACATCAAGAGGAGGAACAAAAAAAAAATTAGAGGAAACCTGACATAGAGACAACAGCGAGAAGCACAAAGCAATCCCGAGATTGCCCAGGAGATTGTCGATGGAGTCAATCAACACAGCAGCTGGGCCCAACACATGGACAGGGACGTCGAGGACAAATTACACGGCAACCAGTACAAGCGGCCAATCTTAGCCTCGACCGTGTCCCGGTGGTTGAAATTCGAACCAATATCAGAAAGGCAACGTTGGCTATGGTCAAGGAATTTGGGAGTTGTCACATCGGAGTCGGGCTGGTCCGCTCAACTATCTTAATGAGCAATAACTTGAAGCAATACCTGGGGCGAGGAATGGCCCATTGTTCTGTATCGCCCAATGTTAGTTGATGCTTTTTATTTCGGAGAGGAACCTAAATGAGGGCGTAAATGTCCATCTACACCAATGTTATCCAAAACTTGAAGTCATTTGGGAACCCGACAGTTTGACGTTGTACGTGTTAAGCACATGAAGCGAGAGAACAATTCACTGCCCGCTCTTGCCCCGGCCGATGCCCCCATAGGCACACGGCCAGAAATTCATATAGGAGGGTATCCCCATCTGAACGTCGTGATATCAAGGCCCTTAACCAGAGTTCGCAGATTCACGTGGATCACGGGAGACTTCGGCGAGCAGCTGACCGGGTAGCTCGAATTTGAGGCAAGAGACGTGAGATGTGACGAGTGAGAAGAGAGGAGAGAGTACTATGAAGACCGCACAGTTGTCGATTTGTCCTGTCCCCGGGACAGAAACAGAGAAGCACTGAGGTTCGGGATCCTCACACTGCCTGCCGTACGTACGCACTTGGTTAGACTCGCAGGTTCTCTCAACGTCTCTCCCAAAGATACCTCGAGGGTTGACCTTCCATCATCTCCCCTAAGGTAATAAATAAGGTAATTAATCAAGTTGGCTAATAAGAATGAAGGCCAGTACATATAGGGGGTTGGGGGGACTTCGAGACATGAATCGCAAAGTTTAACTTTGTGAAGGGTGTGATGTGACCTTCCCTCTACGGAATTACCAACGCTGATCATCACGAGTACCGGTCCTCCGCCCCCCCCCTATTCGGTTCTCCGGGTCGACTTAAACTCTTTCTGGATTAAAAATCCACTATATCTCCACTACCCAATAATAGGTAGGTTTCCTAGGTACCCTAATATAAGTACCTAGATAAACAGAACACGTACGAGGACTCTATAAAGGCCTCCACGAAGAAGACCTCTACGAAGAAGACCTCTACGAAGAAGACCTCTACGAAGAAGACCTCTACGAAGAAGACCTCTACGAAGAAGACCTCTACGAAGAAGACCTTTACGAAGAAGACCTCTACGAAGAAGGCCTCCACGAAGAAGGTCTTTACGATAAAAAGGAGCCCTAGCCCTGACCCTTCTATGATACCTTACGTTATCATGTTCTGATAATATAACGGTACTTTAAGAGACCTAGGAAACCCCACCTAATTTTGGGTGGTGGAGATATAGTGGATTTTTAGTCTAGAAAGAGTTTAAGTCGACCCGGAGGACTGAATAGGGGGGGGGGGGGAAGGGGCGGAGGACCGGCACTCGATAATCACTCGCAGATAACGTCTCAACAGTCGGCTCCTGGCATTGGCAACAGGGCCAAGCGGCATGGCATCAGGGAAAAAGCTTCCACCTGCCCCATCGATCGGAATCCCTGGTGGTCAGCGCCCCCCCTCAAGTCGACGTCGTAACTAACTAGCTCCGTATCTTAGTTACGTATAAGAGCTACGACTTCCATGACACGATGTCCTCGGCCGCTCCCTCGCCCCATCTCTCCTCGTCGACCGCTCCCCGTGTCGCTTGCTATTTGCTCTCTGCCTTGCCGTCTTTTGACTTGACCCGACTCGATCTCGAGCCGGAGAACAGAATCGTGGCCAGTGTCGCCCTCTACACCCGGCCAACATGCGCTTCAACATGGTCACGGGCGCCGCCGCCCTGACGGCCGTCGCCACGCCCGCCATGGCCAAGGAGATGGCCAAAGACACAATCCAAGCCACCGAGGTCTACGACAACGGCAAGTTGCACGATTGGAACATGGGGCGCAAACTTGAAATGACGAGCGCCCAAGCCGCGGCCGGTATGTTGAACTCGAGCGTCTGGCCCAGGCTCGACTACACCAAGTGCGAGGACGGTGTCGCCCAGGCCGTCCCCGGCGACCCCCTTCACGGCTTCAAGTGCAAGAACATGGACTTGTACGACTTTATCAACCACGCCACGCTTGGCTCGCCCAATGGGTATGGGTTGACGCCGGATTCCATTCCACGCACCGGCTCGTCGACTTGGGGCTGGGTAGACCCTGCTTCTGGCCGGTAAGTGGAAGCCGCTTCGCTAGTGTCGTAAGACGCGCAACATGGGTTGGCTAGAGATGTGACTGACTCTGTTCATGCGTTGTTCTTCAGCGAATTCATCGCCAACGGCATGGTGGATGGCACTGCCTTTATCGAGATTCTCCCCGAGGGGCGTATGTCCCTCCTGGGTTTCCTGTACGTTGTTGATCAGGGCCGATCCCGTGAACACCACTGCATATTGTGGGCGGCTTCTCGAGCTTGTCAAGCCGATGAGCGCTGATCAGCCGTCACCTTCCTCCTCTAGGCCGGTCCCTGTTCCAGTCGAGCGTAGTGCCCTGTGGAAGGAGGTCAGATCCTATAAGCACTACATGGTCATTGGCTCCGAAATGGCCAACCACGGCATCCAGATCTTTGACATGACCAAGTTGCTTGATGTCGATCCCCAGGAGCCTGTCAAGTACGACCCGGCCACAGACGTGACCGCTCACTTCACAGATTTGCCTGGCCCAGGTCGCAGCCACAATGTCGTCGTCTATGAGGAAAAGGACCTACTACTTGTTGTTGGCTCCCAGCCTCGGAATGATGAGTGCCGGTCTGGTCCCATCTTCGTCGATCTGTCCGACATCAGCAACCCGACCAGGGTCGGCTGCAACCCAAACGACGGCTACGTTCACGACGTGCGTTGGTCGTGCCTCCGAGTACCCCTCTGCTTTCCCTGACAGGTGACTGACTGATAAGAGTTGTAGGCTCAATGTCTTAAGTATAAGGGCCCTGATGAGAAGTACCTGGGCCGCGATATCTGCTACGCCTACAACGAAGATACCCTAACCATCTACGACATCACCGACCCCACCAACTCATCCATTATTTCTGTCACTTCGTACGAGGGCGCCTCCTACACTCATCAAGTACGCCCATCCTGTTTCCCTTCCCATTCTGCTCTCTTTCAGTTTGTTCTCTAATGTCCATGGCTTCTCGCGACTCTTGTGTGTCCGTGTTCGAATAGGTGCTGATTAGGTACTTCGACAGGGATGGGTTCTCGACCCAGAGTGGCAGGAGTTCTTGATTCTGGATGACGAGCTCGATGAGGTCAACTCTGTGGGCGCTGCTGCAGATGGTTACCCTGTGACCTTCATTTGGCAACTGGAATCCTTGGAGAACCCCAAGCAGGTTGGCCTTTACAAGGGTAAGTTGCGGCCGATACGTCAAGTTACATACTGGCTGAGATCCCGCCTCGCAACACGTCTCGTCTGGAACTGCAACTGGACCTTCAGAATTCGTGACTGACGGTTGAATCAAGGCAGCGTGAGGAGTGTGGATCACAACCAATACATCAAGGACGGTCTTAGCTACCAGTCAAACTATCAGGCCGGTCTCCGCGTCTACGACATCAGCTCCATCCCGACTGACCCCTCTGGCGATGGTGTTTGCGAGGTAAGCTCAACAAACTCCATGGGTGGAGAAGGACGCCAACAAGCACGTTGTATCTGACACGTTATGTATTGCAGGTCGCCTACTTTGATATCCACCCCGAGGACGATAACGAGCCCGGCGGTGGCATCCCTACCTATGAGTTTGGCACCTGGGCATCATATGCCATGTTTCCATCTGGCTTCATCTTCATCAACACCAAGGAGCGTGGTGCGTTTCTCGTCAAGATGACCCGCCGCGAGTCATGCCCAAAGACGCACCCATGCAATGCCGATAACTGCCTGCGCGCCATGCGCTCCACCAGCGTGCAGGGCCGCCTGGAGGAGTCGCAGGAATTCTGTGGCGCATTCCTTGATGGCTGGTCCGGCGATGTCGACGAGGTTCCCGCGTACGGCGTCAGGGCCTGCGGCGAGAATATCATCTCCCGCGTCAGCTCTGCCTGCTCGTGCCTGCCGACGCCTACCTCGACGTAGGTAGGAGCACATGGCTCAACAGGATTCAAACGTATCGTAGTTGACCACTGCACAGTTTGACTGGTCCGTTTTGCCCGTCGAGTGAGTTGTATGAATGACTTGCGACTGTGCCCGAACGTGTACTTCCTGCGCGGGCTTCCAGACGGTCGGGGGGCAGATGTTACCACTTGGCGAGGCCCTGTAGTTGGAATTTGTGCGGTGTGGTCTCGTGCGTTGTTGCATGGCCCGGGGAGGAAGGAACGACTATGACGGCGCCTGTGGCAATAATTAAGCCAATAACTAACTACCTAACCAACTCACCGCCGGGCAAGATGCGGGCGAGCTAAATGTACCAGCCCAGCTTCTATCCACGTATTCCACCTAACCTTGTGGCCGCCGAAACAGAGGCACGAGGCATATTCTAGGCTGTGTGGCTGATGAGCTGGTCCGAGGTGGACGTGGGCGTGGACGTGGACATCGCCACCTAGACTGAAACCGAGAACCTCCGAGTCTGGTGCAATGCCCGCCGCCTGGGGGCCCCAGAGCTCCCCGTCCCGAGTCCTCGACACCCAGTACAGTACTTGGTACAGTAAGTTAGGAGGTACCTTTCCCTCTGTCCGCCGATGATCCCGGCTGCAAGGCCGATGACGCTTCACCGTCGATCGCCGGCCATGCTTCTGGACGCAGTGCAAGCCGTTCTGCGGGCGGCGCGAATGAGTATTTAGGTTCCACGGCGCCGCCACCAGCTCGTCGTGTTTGCTTCTCGAGCCGAACTGCCCGTCCTCTCTCCCGTCCTGCAAAACAAGCGTGGCGCCGCCGTGATCAGTTAGCCAAGCAGCGCTAGGGACACCTAGATGAAGACAGCCCCGGGCCGGAGCCAAACGGCGCGACCGACGTCTCAAAGACGGACGGCCTGCTACCAGCAGACCCGCCCCGGTGCCATGCTGAACAAAGGCCGAGTGCCATCCCGATACTTGCTCGCAGCACCGGCGCATTCAGCTTGTCAGCAGCCGCCGCAGGAGCCCCCTCCACCACCACCACCACCACCACCACCGCCGCCGCCGGTCGTGCTTAGCGACGAGCCCACCCCGGGAGGATTTATTATGAACCAGTAGTCGACATGTCGCGCCCGGTCGTTTTTGAAGCCCGTAGCTAGATGCAGGTCCACGCCGGCGCGCTCGTACTGCTTTGCCATGTCCTTGGCGAAGGCCTTGGCTTCGGCGATGGCAGCGCAAAGAGCGGCAGGTTCCGACGGGGGAGTTGATCGCCGCAGGCCCTCCGCGTGCGAAGCCCAGACATTGGCGCGGACGGCGCGATCAACAAGGGTGGTGCCGTAGCGGTAGTTGGTGGAACGGCTGCCGACGACTGATTCGTAGTTGGGCCGATTGGGGCGGTCGACGACGGCGGCCGAAATCTGTCTCACGAGATGGTTCCATTGGTGTTTCCTGCGCTGAGGCGACTGAGCATCATCGAAGCTGCCGACGACGGTTCGGAGCAATGCATCGATGCCGTCGGCGGTTGGCCGGGACGGCGTGCCCACAAGAAGCAGGCCGGCGGCCGCAAGAGCGGCGTCGGCATTCTCCTGCTCCTGCCCCTGCTTTGATTTCGAGTTTGAAGCCTCCGAGGCAGTGGCTGCGGCGGCGGCGGCGGCGAGGATACGCTGCTGGCCTTCCTCGCCAAGGGTGCGCGGCTCGGAGGTGTACTCCAAGACGCTGTCGCCCACGGCGACAAGCGCCTCTCGCGCAGGCTCGCCAGCTTCCAATTTTGATGCATCGTCGGGACGTCGTGGGCGAATCTCAAACATGTGCTCGTGAGCAAAGATGCGGCAGTGCTCGAGGACGCCGGCTGCGGTCGCGTGATGGGACATCCAGACGCCTCCGCGGAAGCCCTGCAGTTCGGACCTCTTGTGGCTCGCCAGAACATGAGCCGTGCTCTTCTGCACTCTGTCGCCGAAATCACGCCCGAGTGCCGCCTCGAGCGTGTCGTGCGGGCCGGACTTTCTGATTTTGGCAGGTAGCCCGCTGTCCTCGAACCTCTTCATCCTGCGTCGGTAGCTACTGCAACTCCAGAAGCCGCAGCCGACGGCGACGAGTAATACACCGACTATGGGGCAAACGATGGCAATGACAACGACGGACATGATGACGGCGGAAGGGGACAGGCCGATAGGTTCGGAGAGGGGAGGAGAGGAGAGGAGAGGAGAGGAGAGGAGAGGAGAGGAGAGGAGAGGAGAGGCAACGAGAGGCAACGAGAGGAGAGGCAACAAGAGGCAACGAAAGAGAGAGAGGAGGGGATCGATATATGTTGTCAGGCGAACCTGGAGTATGCCATGCCATGCCACGCCATGCCACGCCATGCAGCAGCCGTCTCCATCATAAGCTGAGATTCTGCCTCGCGGCGCAGGCGCAGGCTTGGCCAGGCATACAAGAAGAGAGAAATTCGGGAGCGACCCTCCTCCAATCTTGAGTAATGAGTTGGTAGGTGGTGTCTGAGATGGCGGGTATAAATAGGGACTTAATAGGGAGACCTCACGTTTCAATATCGAGACTTCACACGTGATAATTCAGTGGGGCCATGACGCCACCGCCAAGATACATATGTACACACAAAATAGGTGCGGTACATATGTATCTTGGCGGCGGGTTCATGGCCCCACGAAAATGTCACGTGTGAGGTCTGGATATTGAAACGTGAGGTCTCCCCATTAAGTCCCTATAAATAAGCGTGTCTTGTATTTTATGCACGGTTCGCTTTGGTGACTGATGACTGGGCCTGTTGCCGGGCCGGCCAGCCAATCAGAGTGCCCAGGGTGTGTACTGGCACTGGCAGTTTCAGTGACGAGGCCATGATCAAGTTTCATTGGTCCGGGTTCGCATGTTTCTGTGGAGGTAACGCATCCGTATGGAAGTACTTAGGTGTGGGGTATTACGCAAGTACCCGCCCCCAATTCTCGCGATCTTGCTACCTTACTGAACCTTTGTCCGTCCATTTGACCTCGAGGGCACATAGAAGTCTCAAAGGCAAAGCGCCATTCACCGAATAAAAACCCTGGGGCCTGTTAGTTCACAGCTTCGCGGTCCTAGTATTTCCCGCGCTGCATCTTATTAGGTACCTAAGGTAAGGTACCTTACCTATATTCTGCTCCTTCCCTCTCCTTCACCTTTCTTGCCTCTGTTTCTCCCTCCCCCCACCTTCACATCTACATCACCCAAGGTAAGGTACCTACACTTCCCCGCCTTCTTCTCTTATCTTAAGGTATCCTTTACCTCTTTCTGTCTCCCGTACCTCCTACAATCGTGTCGTCCTCCCATACCAGATCTTTGAAGCCGTGCTCGAACTGACGGAGGTGGACAATGGTCGTTCCACTTGTCCTTAAAGGTGAGCAACTTCTCAGCAGATTAATCCTTATTTGTTCAAATGCTTCAAAGTTTTGCCGTTCCTCATTTTTCCATGGATTTCCCATGAGGCGTTTTCACAGCCAGGTCAGGCCAATGGTCGTGTACATGTTCGGAGGCGATGTATAGGTACAAGTACCCCGCGAAAGTCTCCTGTCAAATGACCGTCAAATGACTGTTGCCTGGGTATTGCCCACGTCTTCCCCGGCGTCTCGAAACCGAAGGGACCCTCCTCGGTGGCGAAGGGGTTAATGATTCCAGTCCAACCCGTTCATCTCGTCTACGCAAGCTTCATTCATTGATTCGTAATTCTTTTTGTTTTCCTTATTTTCCTTATTTTCCTTATTTTCCTTATTTTCCTTATTTCTCCTCCAGATAAATTGCCACGCGCTCTGTTCCCTTATTATCCATCCTTAACGGCCTCCTGCATTCTCGAGCATGCCTCCTGTTATTAACCATGCCGCCCTCGCATCCGCAGGCGCTGTTGCCGTCTCCGTCGCAGTAGCCGCTGCCATCGCCCTCTACGAGTCTCCCGAATTCCGCCGTCTCTCAGAGGATGTCCGACGCCGTATCGCCATCGCCCTCCAGTCCCTGAGCGAGGGCATTGAGCACCCCGGGCGCCAGCCCAGGTTCAACCGCCCAGAGGACGCCGAGGGATTCTACGAGTCCAGTCGGGATGTCGGTGCCGAAGCAGGCGTCGATGCCGATGAAGAGTCGCGCCGTCGACAGCGAGAAGAGCTGATGTATTGGAACGCTGTCCGCCTGGAGAAGCAGGACCCCGAAAAGAAAGAAGCCGAGGGGCTCTCTGCATCCCCTTCGGAACGTCCCACTCATACCCGAGGCTCTAGCTTCGACGATTTCCTGCGTCAAGATGAGAATGGGGAGAAGGGCGCCTTCGTCTTCAACACAGGCACCGACGCTCGCAGCAACGGAGACAACCTCCTGCGAAATCGAAATCGGCATGAAGGTCTTCGCAGTCTGAACCCGAACCCGGATGTCTACGCGAACCCTTTTGCCGACGAGAACCAGATCGACCTCCACGAGCTTCCCACCGACACCAATCGGCATGATACCGCACCCCGCGACGACGAGGGAATGTCCGATATCTACAGTGCAACCACTCGCGGCCGCGAAGATACGCCCCAGGATACCGCCACCCTCGCCTCTCCCCATCAACCCCCCGATGTCATCGAAGTAGAGGACCGCAGCACAACCTGGTCCCAGTCCGAGCGCTCAGTCACCCTGGACGGCGAGCTCGGCCCGGACGAGTACATGACGGCGGGCCAGGACGACCGCGGCCAAGACGAGGCTTATTCCTCCATCCAAGCATGGGCCCAGGGCTCGGCCACCACCAGCTTCTACTCGCCCCTCCCCATGTCTCCTGCACCTCCCGAGTCCGAGCCCGAGAGGATTAGCGAGGGCATGGCGACGCCGACCGATTCGGTCTCGCTGGCTGGGACGGGCGAGGACATTGCCAACGACGCCGCCTCGTCGAGGGCGGGGGAGACGGGAAGGGACTACGACGTGCTGAGCGAGAGCGATACTGGCATGATGACGCCTTCCAGCTGGTCGGAGGTAGGAAGCGTCATTAGCGAGGCCGAAAGCGAGGCCGATTCACACCCTGCGCGCAATGCCCCCATGCCTGCTTCATGACCTTCCACCCCTTTGATGTTTGTTGCGTTTAGTTTCGTCTAGTGCGTGTGACGCTTCGGCGTCATTTATATCCGCTTGCACACGGCGGGATGATTCGATGGGCGTAGGCGTTCGGTTGGGCTTAAGGGTCAGCACACGGGATGGATAATTTGATATTATTCATAGGGTTTATTGTTACGGGATTTTTTTTTCCCTTCTTCTCTTCATATTTGCTTCAATATTGTGATCTATCTCCTTGGACATGGAAGTAAACAAATGGCTCTAAGCTCGCTGGAAACCAATTTTTTTAAAGAAAATTACAGCAATCAAACGCTTCATCGTCGCCCAGCTTCCGTACCGAGATACTCGAGGCTTCTATGATCCTCTATCGACAGCCGAACTCGGCGGACCCAACACGCCCAATGTCTCACCCCCTTTCAAGCCTTGTGTCTCCCTACGCCGCCCTGCCCGATTCATTCCCTTCCCACAACTTGGTCACGGGGCGTTCTCATTCTTCCGATCCGGCCCCACCGCGACGCGATACTCCTCCCACAAAGCCTCAACACTCTGCCCCAGCAGCTCCACCCAGAACCGCTCACCGTCGTAGCGATCAGTCCGAAGCTTCTCGTTGACCCGCCGCACCGTGTCCTCCCCAAAGCGGCTGGTTAGGTAGTCAAGGAAGTACGCGGTGTGCTGGTACCCCCTGTCCCAAGAGCCGGAGGTCTCCCGACGCCAATGGGGCGGGACGAGGCCGGCGCGGAGACGCACCCAATCGGCGACGCCCTCGATCAGGCCGGAGGGGGCGGTGGCGCGGCCGTTCCACTGGAAGCAGTGCACCATCTCGTGGGTGAGCACGCCGGCGATCTCGTCGTCGGCACGGCGGGCTTCGGGGATGTTGTTGATGTAGTCGAGGGAGAAGTGGATCTCCTTGTGGTCGTTGTCCAGGTCGGAGCCGGTCGTGTAGGCCACCCCGCCCATGGGCCGGAGGATGAGGGTCACGGAGCGGGTCGGGGGTGGGTGGGTGGTGGGGTTGGAGGGTTTCACGTAGAGGAGGCGGAGGACGTTGGTGACGGCGGATTGGAGGACGTGGGAGGCGTTTACGGCGGAGAGGAACTTGCTTGCCCCGGGGTGGTTGAGGTCGCGGATTTCCAGGCGGAGTTTGGGTTGTGGGAACTGTTCCTCGGACTGGCTGGGCTTGTTTATGGAGTTTGCGGTGGGATTCCGGTGGTTCGGGCTCTTGTTCTTAGCAGTCGAGGGTGATTTTGGTCGCTCTGGGAGAACAGTCGGTGCAGGGTGCGGAGGAGAGGAGGCTGGGGACATGGCGGGATGAAAGACGGTTGTGGATGGGTTCGGCGATGTATGGACTGGGACGATCATGCCGATACAGTAAGTGTTGAGGTGTTAGGATCGAAGTTCTGAGGCCGACAAGAGTCCCGTTACGACAAGACAAAAGATCACAATTTGTAAGTGCCTCACTCATAAGAGATCAAGAGGAAGAGTAACCTTGGAGTAGGAATTGCCGCATATATATGTATGTATAAGAAATACGACGCCACAAAAACCAAAAGAAAAGATCTTCGAGTGAACTTTTGAATATATTTATTAGACTGAGGAGTGCCAGTAGATATCTATGTCGTTAGCGCTGTCGTCGATACTTTTGCGAGACGGCTTCGAATCGAACACGTGAACCCCCTTTTGGAGGTCAAAGCAGTCATCAGGTACGACGAGGGGCAAAGGTGGCTAGCGTTTTAGTACCCGTGCGACCCCGCACTACGGCAGTGGAGCCAACAAAAGGGCTGAAGCATTTTATATGACAAGAATGTGGAGAGCGCTTCGCTCCTTTTGGTCGTTGACTGTCTGACTGTATTAGACTGTGGAAAGACGGGTAATATTAGGTAATTACCTACTTCACGTGCGAAGTCATAGGAAGTACCTCTATGAAAGGGCGAGGTTTTATTAATAATACCTTACTTCACAGCTCTGATGTCACGGCACGTGGATATGACGAATGATAAAAAGCCGATTCAACGCGACTCGAGCCAATCAAAATATCAGCTGAACTGTTTCGCGTTGGGAACCAATCATAGCAGAGTACAAGATTCTGGGGTGCAACTGCGGCAACGACCCCTTTTGTTTTCTCTTTCTCTGGGTGTCCAGAGACGAAGGACATCGTTTGGACAACATACCTCATCTGTCAGCATTCGACTTGATTCTGCACTTGCACTTCCACTTCCACCCTGTGCATCAGATTTTATTGCAGCTGCGATTTCTACTTCGTATAGGGTCTGACCTCGCCTTTGCCTTACAATAGCGCAAGACAGCATCAGTGGGTCCGATAGCATTCCCGCGAACCCCCTCATCCACCTCACCCACGTCCTCGATGACAGTCGGACCAGGTCCAGGTTCGATGCGCCCGCCCACCCACCTCCCCTTGCCCTCGTGGCGGAACAACTAACCATGGAATTCGTTTCAGTCAAAACCGATCCGCATCACCTCGCATCACTACGCCAAGCCAAGCCAACCAAACCATCTTCCTGACATTAAACCAACATTGATCCGGGGCATGGCCGATCACATCACAGACGACCAGGTGGCAGACCTGCTGCGGGTCCTCCGATCTGATGCCTACGCCGACGTCAAAGTCCAGCACATCAACAACATCAAGTCCGGCATCAAGCAGCATAATGTCCCCGAACACCTCGTCGCCCAAATATTCGACGGTTTGCGCACCGCCTCCGTCTCCCAACATGGCGTCCTCGCCAGCGCCGGGCTCACGTCCCTCAACCACCTCCTGACACGCCTGTCCCGCCAGGAGCCCAAGCTTCTCGCCAAAGAGCTCAAGGCTACCCTGCCCGTTGTGGTAGACAAACTGGGAGATCAGAAAGATAAACTGAGGGCCATTGCTTCTCAGGCCCTGACTACCCTGTACGGCGCCGCTCCTGCCGACGTCGAACGCTCTGTCAGAAATGTCGCCATGGTCGGCAAGAATCCTAGGGCAAAAGAAACCGGCATGCAGTGGTTGCTGCATATGCACAACCAGCACGGGCTGCAGTTCCGTGCTTACGTCCCGACTCTGATGGAGTTGCTGGAGGATGCCGATGGGATGGTCCGTGATAATGCCAAGTCGACCGTCATCGAGCTGTTCCGGTATGCAAGCACCCCCGCCGTGTCTTCGCTGGAGACACCGTTGTTTTTTGGATTATTCGCATTGCACACAAAGCGATTCTGACTGGCTAACTTTTTTCTTTCGCTTCCCCTCTGTTCGATAGGAACGCGCCCAATGCAGCCAAGTCGGATCTTAAGCGACAACTGAAAACCTTCAAAGTGCGACCCGCCATTGAGCAGGCCATCGTCAAGGAATTAGCCCCACCCGGTGGTGGCCTTCGACCGGAGACTCCTCTTGATGCTGCCCCTCCCCGTCCGCCTTCCCGTGCCAACCTTGCCGCAAGCGTATCTTCGCTGTCAAGTGACCGACCGAACACCCCGGCCCTCGAGCTCCGCCCCGAGCAGGTCGAGCCAGCTTATGTCAATACCCAACGTGAACTGGATGACATGTTTAAGGAGATGCATCTCTACTTCGACGGTAGGGAGACTGAGCAGAATTGGCTGAAGCGCGAGGAGAGCATGACCAAGCTGCGTCGCCTGATCGCCGGCAACGTGCCCCAGGACTTCCCCGAACCTTTCATCGTAAGCCTCCGAGGATTGCTGGACGGTATTATCAAGGCCGTGACCTCCCTTCGAACCAGTCTGTCCAAGGAGGGATGCGCTCTCGTCCACGACATCGCCGTGACCTTCGGCCCCGGAATGGATCCCATGGTGGAACTGTTGATGCAGACCTTCATCAAGGTCGCTGCCGCTACCAAGAAGATCAGCTCTCAGCAGGCCAACTTCACAGTGGAAACCATTATTGGCCGAGTGACCTATAATAACCGCATCATGCAGCATATGTGGGCGGCGTGCCAAGATAAGAACGTCCAACCCAGGACGTATGCATCCGGATGGTTGAAGACCTTGCTCAAGAAAGAGAGCCATCACAAGAATCACATGGAACATACCGGTGGCCTGGATCTCCTCGAGAAGTGTATCAAGAAGGGTCTCAACGACCCCAATCCCGGCGTGAGGGAGAAAATGCGTGCAACGTATTGGACCTTCGCCGCTATGTGGCCTGCTAGAGCCGAAGTGTACGTTTCGCCGGATCCTTCCCGCGACGGCGCGTGGACTGGACTGTGTTGGCTAAAGTTCTTTTCTTCCGCAGTATCATGGACAACCTCGAAAGCACAGCCCAGAAGCTGCTCAAGAGGGATGCCAATAACCCCAACTCCTCGTCCCCTAAGAAGGAAGAGGGGGCTCGTGCTCGACCGGGTCTGGGCCTGTCTAAGAGCACCATGGGCCCGTCCAAACCCAGTTTGAGGGAAACCGTGATGGCGCAGAAGAGGGCCATGGTTGGTCCGCGAAACCTACCGGCACGTCCGGGATCAGCCATGGCCCATATCTCACCGGCGCGGACGACCTCTGGTTCGAGCACTTCGGCCTCCACCACGTCGGCTGGCCCCGCCGCCCCATTGAAATCGACCGTCTCCGGAGGCATGTCTGTACGGCCTATGAGACCCGCAAAGAGGCGACCGGACATGGCTCCACGACCTGCTACCGCCGGGCCTTATTCCGTCCGATCCCACGACGACGAGCCAGGGGTGGAGGCGCCCAGCCCCGAGACCCTGAGATCGAAAGAGATCAGTGCGAGGCCGAAGATCGAGCCGACTCCCCGACGGGCAGCGTCTAGGGTGCGGCCTGGGCATGCCTCACATGCTAGTGAATCGAGCATCCCATCCCCTATGGGGAAACCGGCAGCGTCCAAACTCGGGGCGTCGCCGCGGGTCGCGACTACCAGGCTCCCGCAATCTCCCACGTCGCTGCCTTTGCGTCTGAGTAGCCCTGCAAAGTCTGACGAGAATCTCACCCTGGTGGTTCCGACTGTAGAAAGCCTGAGACGGTCACCGGGCCCAGAGGCAGCGGCGTCCAAGCTCAGCCCTCGCCTCAGCCCTCGCCTCAGCCCGCGCCTCAGCCCCCAGCCCAGTCCTCAGCAGACTCCTACACGGCCAGCCGCACCGGCCCTGGAGGAGGGTCCTATACAACAGGTTCCTGCAGATGACATACCTGCTCTGGAAGAGCCTGTTCTCATTGATCATCAGGATGAGCCTATCCAAGTTGCTCCCGGACAAGAAACTCCTATCCGGGGGAGCCCTCTGTCTGCTCAGGCGACCCCTGTTGAGAAAAGCCCTGTTGTCCCCAAGAGCCCGTCAGACGACCTCGGCGCCACTTCCAACCAAGCCGTGAAAGTCTTCGAGGACCCATTCACGGCGGATGAGCAGCAGACAACCAACCCGACCATTGTCACCCCTGTGCTAGAAGACAGGCCGGTGAACGAGAACGCAGGGGTTCCGGCAGCCAACGGAGGAGAGCCAGAAGGCAACGGTTTACTAACCGAGTCGCCCCCCGACAAGTCGCGTCAAAACTCGCGACTTCTCGAAAGCGGCATCACACGCGTCAAGGCGCGCTCGCTGGACGTCCACGGCTTCCGGAAACTGCAGACGCTGATCCGGGAGAACAAGGCGATGTTCACCAACGACAAGTTCGACACGCTCCTCCTGGGTCTCTTCGAGTACCTCGAGACGCCGTTGACGAACCTAGCGCCCGGCAAGGCCCAGGACGTCAAGGCGCAGATCCTGGCGACCATCAAGCTGCTTCTCCAGAAAGAGCGGGACAGCTTCCAGCCGCACGTCTCCCGGGGGCTCGAGGCGGTGGTGGCGGCCCGCGGCGCTTACGACTCGCGCACGCACATCGTCAGCGGCCTCGAGCTGCTGGCCGAGGAGCTGGTGGGTATCGGCGACCCGGCCGAGATGGTCATGACGATGACGACGCTGCTGGGTGGCGGTGATGAGGAGGTGAAGGCCACTACTCCTACGGCAGAGGGCTTCCGAAGCCTCAGCATGGGACTGCACATCCTGAAGGAGCTTCTCGAGAAACGCGAGAGCTTCGTGCCGACCGAGGGCGAGCTGGCCCAGCTGGCCGGACTGGCGGGTCGCAGTCTCGAATCGGCCGAGTCCGGGGTCCGGATGGGCGCCGTGCAGCTCTGCGTGGCGCTCCATGGGCGGATCGGGGACAGGCTGTTCTGGGAGACCCTCAGGGATGTCAAGGACGACCCCAAGAACGTCATCACGTATTACATTGCGAAGCGGCAGCGGGAGCGGGACGGGGCGGCAGTTTGAGGAGACGGCCGGACATGACAACTTCGGTGCGGGGGCTGCTATTAGAAAAGAAGTTCAGCGGCTAGAGAGCTGGCTAGCCTTTGGTCGCGAGACGTTATATGGCCCCCGAGATGGACGTGACTGGGAGTTCTAGGCAAATATGGTGGTAAGGTTGGGTGAACGGGATGGGAATTCGGCATGTGGACATGGGGGGGGGGGGGGGGGGAAACAAAATGGAGGCGTCATGGTTCTTTTCTTTTGGTGTTGTCGGTCCCCTTGGAGGAACAAACCCTTCCAATATTCTTTAATGTCTGTCCGCAAGGGGCCTTGTAATTAACTTACCTCCTAGTAAGCCAAGCGGTAATCAGCATATACCGTTTTTATTCTGCTGGTTGATCTGGTCTTCGTTTCAGTCCTAGATGATATGGTGATCCTTTTCGTCCATGTCCGAGTTTATCAGGACGAGTTCATCGGAACGGTTGACCAACTCCTGTCCATCTTCTCACCGTCTGTTGTTCTCGATGCTTCCACGTGCCGTGAAGCCATGGACAAACAATCCCCCTCCTTTCGTTGTCCTTTCTCCTACCCCTCCGCATTCCCCTCGTGCTTCACACTTCTTCATCCTCCCAGAGGGCTTACCTCGAGGTGGATGAGAGGTCCTAAACTACCAACTACCCGGATATCTTCGCAGATTGGAATTCTGAGTCTGGCCACATGTGTCGTGGTGCTTCATCCCCGGCCACAGAGCATGGAGTACAGGACGCTCCGGCTCGGTACGTTCGTTGCCACGGGGCTATAGGGGTTCGCGTCCATAGTACACGCTATGACCCCATTCCCGTACGCTCAGCTTGACAAGCAAGCCGGCCTTCGAGATGGATATCTTGGAGGTCTCTTCTATCTCGCCAGGGCCTTCATTTACGGAGTAAGCAACTGGGCTCTCCACCTTTTATATGCCCGGCAAGGATCCCGCAGAAAGATGGAGCGGGCCACTATCAGGTTGTCGCCGATTCACTTCCCTGAGAGATGGAGGCCAGGCACGTTCGACATTTTGGGGGGCGTCCCAGCAGATCATCCATTGCTGTGTCGTATTGGGAACCCTGTCGCATTTTACGGCGTCTTGCCCAGATACCAATATACATACGTGTGATAATCCTCGCTGCTGATCACGGTCTGGAGATGGGAAGGAGAGCCACGAACCATGGCGGGTTGGTTATCACACGTCTGGATATTTTGCCGCTAGGGATAAAATAAACGCGAGGTGGCTGGACAGTAATGGCAAGTCCATGGATCCATTTGGCGGTAAAGGAGAGCGCAATCATAATAATGGTATGAACACTTCGGTTTCAGCCTCTCCAACCTTCGGCAAGAGCCAAGGCGGCAGCGGTGATAGACGGTGATCTCAGATCTCATACAAGAGCCCATCTCAGTTTGTTCGGCGATGATCATATGCAGAGCACAGGCATTCTCCGGCGGCCAGCCGATCCAGATCAGCAAGCACAGACGAACAGGTCAGCAGTATGTAGATGTCCAGCCTTTGCTCGTTGTGTGTGTGTGTGTGTGTGCGTGTTGTACAGATACAGATACGGGTGTAGGTGTTGATTGCCGTGAAAGACCTGGGAGTCGGGGACTGTCAGCTAGGTAATTACCCATTGCCCCGGCTCCAAGGACAAGTGGAACTTGACTGTGAGGTCAGGTTCAAAACTGAAACGCAAAATAGGCAAAAAGGGGACTACCCTGGGAAGGCCCTGCTGATCTGTGCCTCTTCTGCGCTTCTCTTCCTTCCTTCCTTGCTTGCTTCCCGGAAAAGCGGCGGGCGGCGGGCGGCGGTGTGCCTCTTCCTTCGCGTGTATCAGTTTGTCAGTTTAGGAAGAGAACAAGACAAATCCCGGGTGTGGCGTGCGGAAGGATCGCGGAGGAGGCGTGTTTTGACTCATGGATGTTTATTATGTTGTTAATTTGCTACTGCAATGAGACAGGTGAATAAGGTAATTAGTTGGCTATTGCTATCACAAGTCCGGGGCGGCGACAGGGTATTGGGCGGGAAGGAGCAAGAAGACGTTGAAGCCATTTTGGCGGGTTTACACGGTAATAGTATACAGGTATAGCGAGTTGGATATACGCTTGGTCGGGGTTTGGTTTCGCAGCCTTGTTCTGGTGCCCTGTACAACGTAAAGGTACTCCGTGATACTTCATTCTCCGTGTCTGTACGAAGTGCTCTGTACCCCATGCAGAGCTCGTCGTGGGTAGCGGGGATGCTATTTTAACTGAAACAAACCCCTTGCCACTGTCCGTGCTGGAACGCGGAGGGGACCCCTGTGCCTATTCCTGTATCCGTAACCTGTTTCTCTGGTCGTCCCGTTAATTACCCCTGGTACTTTCTTAGCACCCTGCAAATCCCTTAATTGCCGCTCCTTGAGGTTGCGACTGTGCGACGTAACTACCTATAGACGTTTTTTTTTTTTCTTTTTTTTTTTTCATTACGCGCATGCAGCCCTAAAGCTATGGCGCGGCGCCTATCGCCCTAAGGGCTAGAGGCTATAAGAAGCTAGGTATAGTAAAATAGAGTGTACTATATAAAGGAAATCCTCCGTAATAATCTGCCTAATAAAACCTAATAGGTAAAAAACCAAAGCAAAATAACTAGACCGCAGGAAACGTGGTTTGCGCCCTATACCACTCTACCGAGGCTATTTTAGTAGCTAAAAGGTAGGCCTGTAAGGCCTTTATTCTTTTTTTAGTATTAAATAATAGCGGCAGAGATAGCGGTAGGCCTGCTAGGGCTTCCCGCAGGGCTCTTCGTTCTTCTTTATAAAAAGGGCAGGAAAGAATAAGGTGTGCTGTATTCTATATAGGGGAGCCGGGACAGTAATAGCGGTCGTTAGCGTAGTTTTAGGTCCTTTTTTGGTGGGTTTTTAGGTATACGAAGCCGGTTTTTAACTGCGTAAAAGCCGATTTTACCCACCTAGGGCCTTATATGAGTAGTGGTTTTCGGGAGAAGCGGAGGTTATCGCGGACTAGTCGCCGATATAGGCGGCCTAATCGAACCGATTTACCTCTTTTCTTCTCCTCCTCTTCGTGATTCTATAGGGGTTTTTAGTCTTAAATAAGGGCTTTATTTACCCGGCGTTTTAGGTGGCTAAGGGTAACTAAGCTAACGGATTTAGAAGCTTTTTCGGGGTTTAACGCCCCTTTAGCTACCTTATCCGCTAGTTCGTTCCCTTTTATCCCCACGTGTGAGGGGCACCACCATATAGAAACCGACGTGCCTAGTAGTTTAAGGCGTGAAATAAGGTCTTTAGCTTCTATAGCCTACTATAAGGTGCGCTGAAGCTTTTAAATAGCCGTCTAGGAATCACTAAAGATATAGCACTCTAGGGGCCTCGGCGCCTGCTCTAGGGCAGCGTAAAGGGCCTAGAGAATAGCGTATAATTCAGCGTCCGCGACTTCGGCAGCGGTCCTTAGGTTAAAGCCTATAGCTTTATAGGGCCTTCCGGTATTAGTCCACTATATCACAGCGGCTGCAGCCTGCGAGGGTCCTTTAGGGGGCCTAGTAGGGTGGCCTAGGGAGCCGTCGGTATAGAAAATAGTAGCCTATTCCCTTAGGCCTTATTATATTTTAGCGAGGGCTTTGAGGTAGGCTGTTTTTTGGTCGAGGGTATCGGGACTAGGGCCAGGGTTAGAGGCTATAATAGGCCGGTCTTTAGGGAAAAAGGGCCTTAGATCCGCTAAGGGTTCCGAAGCCTAGGGGGCCTCCCACCTAGCCGAAGGGACCTCGATATCCTAAGACTAACCTATTAAAGCCGCTAATTCTAGGCCTAGCCTAAATAGTTATATACTAGGCAGAAGGTTCTGTAGCTAGTTAAGGCCTTCGTGGTTAAGGCCTTCGTGATTTTCGCTTAGTAGGAGCTAGCGTCTAATAGGGTAGTTCGGTAGGAATTTTAAAGTTCTAAAGGCATAAAGCCTATTAGTCCTAGTTAATCGAACCGCCGCTAGGGGGACTACTGCTTTAAGTTCTAGAGGCCGTAGAGGGGCTCCCCTAAAAGCACCTAAGGCCCTGACTAGGGCCCCGTACTATAGTCTTTCTAGACGATCTATAAGGTGTTTTTTCGGTGATTTAGGGTCTTACTAGAGCTACGAGCTAAAATCGGCTAGGGAGGCTATATAGGCTATATATAGCTACCGTAGAGCCTTAAAGGAAAGGCCCCTCTATAAGCTAGCTAGCCTATATAGCCTGTTTAGGGCCTCTAAAGCCGAATTCAGTCGTTTTTCGATATAGGGTTTAAAGGATAGCTTAGGGTCTAACTAGACCTCTAGCTATCTAATAGTACCTAGCGCGAATTTAACTAAGTGCCCCCTTATAGTAACCGGAGTATCTTCTTTAGAGCGTCTTCGATAGAAGTGAATAAGCTCTGTTTTTTTAGGGTCGAAGAGGACTTAGTTAACTTTTACTACGTCGAAAAGGGAGGCTACGGCTTTTTCTAGGGCTTTGTAGTTTTTCCTAGTCGACGTAGATACTATAGATAGCTGGAAATCGTCGATATAGAATAACTGGAGACCCTGAAAATCCGGTCCCGCTATAACCTTTCTAATATAAATTAGGAAAAGGATAGGGGAAACCGGGGAGTCTTATAGAACCCCTATATTTAAGGGGGTAGGCTACTAGACCTGCCCCTCGAAGGCTAATTAGATTCGCCTGTTTTCTGTAAAAGAGGCTAACTATTTAACTAGGTTCGAGGGTAGTTAGAGTTTCTAAAGGGTCCTAAGTAGCTAGGGACGGGCGACGTGATCGAAGGCTCCTTTAATATCTAAAAATAGCGTGGAAATCATAGGATTTTAGTGTAATTTACGCTATTTTTCGATATAGTGGAGGAGGAGAAGAGCTATATCGATAGTAGAGCGTTATTTTCTTCCCCCTATTTAACTAGGGTATAAAAGGTCGTCGCGGGTATTAGCTATAAAGCTAAACCTAGTAGCTATAACCCTTTTAAGGACTTTACCTAAGCAGTTTAGAAGGGCTATAATCCTATAAGACTTAAGATTTAAATAGTCCTTTTTTCCCGGCTTCGGTAAAATAACCCCTAGGGCTTCTTTCTAGTAGGTAGGATAGTGGCCTGCTATAAATAGTGCTATATAGGCTTATAAAAAAGGCCCGGGGATAACCTTATAGGCCTGCTAGATCGGCTTTAGACTAATTCTATTAGGCCCTAGGGCTTTCC